AAGATGAAATCATCAGATGAAATGCAAATAAGTTCGCCTGTTTTTGACATCGCTCATCTAAAAATTATAACTGGACAGTACACAGACACAGACATTTGCTTGACAGTTAAGCTAATTTAAAGTGGCTCGATACAGTTTATAAAAAGTGGAAAATTCACGAATTACGGATCTACCGTATTTTTTTTTGAAATTATTACATGTTGAAAAACAAAAAGTATCTTATTGATGTAAAACAACATCTAAAGGTTAAGGTTCGATTTTTTTCAGAAAAGTTACTGCTGTGCTATGGCGACAATGACGTTTCAAGATGGCGGGAATTTTGGCTTTAAAGTAATTTAACTCGAAAACGACGTCATCAGTGACCCCCCAATTTTATTCCATAAAATGATTTCTTTTATAGTATACTAAATTATTTTGAAAATTTAAAAAAAATTTTTGTTGAGCCAAAAAAAATATGATGAATAATCCCATTTGCGTAATTTGAAAAATGGGCAAAAGGAACTTACTAGAAACCTAATTCGGCTTTTTACTTAATTAAGGCGTCCAGTTATATCAATGTATATAGTTCAAGATATATGTATAATAATTAATTGACAGTTCGATATGTGTGCTTAAGACAACAAGGAGAGTTTATATAGTAAGATATTTATATTACATAGCCATAGGAAGTTATTGCATTTTTCGCAATTTTAGAGACTGCATATATTACATAAAGATTTTTATATTATTATTTGATTGAAAAATGATACTCTCCATTCAGTTCTAGTGTGAAGGTCAGTGAATGACATCACACCATTGACATTAAAAAGTCGACGTACCAAGATAGTTTTTTTTTCTCATAAAGATATACTACATTCTTTAAAGTGTATTCCGCACAAATACTATACACTCAAAACGTTCCAAATATTACACATATCGAACATCGTATTCGGTTAGTGGCACTTTACCAGGGAACTAGAATATTCAAAGTGCAAAATAAGTGTCGGAAGGAAGTATAAAACTCAATCAAGCGTCGTAAAATCATGACTCTCTGCTTTATATACAAGTGCAAGCTGAAGAATTCAATGGACATTTGCATTATAGACTAAATTTTGATCTAAACATTTCTAGACAAAAATTTCATCACAGCTTGAAAGAGCATCACAAAATTAGTAATATTCCAAAGTTTCGTTGCGAAATGTTGTAAAATGCGGATAATATAGCCTTGCGAAGTTTGCTGTTTTCCAGTCATTTTGTATTAGAAACGGAAAATTGACAGCCCCAAAGGGTATTGAGCTGTCAATTTCCCCCGCGTAATCAAAATGACTGAAAAACGGCAAACTTCGCAAGGCTATATTATCCGCATTTTACAACATTTCGCAACGAAACTTTGGAATATTACTAATCTTGTGATGCTCTTTCAAGCTGTGATGAAATTTTTGTCTAGACTTGTTTAGAACAAAATTTAGTCTGTGATGCAAATGGTCCATTGCCACTGGAACGGCATTTTGCATTCCGTGAATCATGAAATTACTGCTTTATTTTCCCTATAAAACGTAATCAATTTCCCCTCTCCACTTTACGACTTTCATATATGAGCGACATAGATATCTTATATACACTAGATAGCGCATCTCTTTTAGTAAAATTGAAGCCAAGAATATTCCAGCGGTTACCCCCATTTGAATAGATGACGGCCATATTGGAGTTTCCCACTCGCTAATAAACGCTTAAACAACAACAATTACTTTCATCATTTGAATAGTTTAAAGATGTTTTTGGAATAGGTTTAACTTAATGTTTAAGTTCGCTGCTTAAGAAATAGAAAACATGCGAATCTTCTCATTTCATGGGAATATCCTGAGTCTGCAATCACGGCTTCAATTTTTGAATTGCAGAATAATTAGATGCACTATCTAGTGAATATAAGATATCTATGATGAGCGATCAGTTAGCGCGAAGGTACAGGTATATGGCCTGTGATGTGAACCTTCCCAGTTCGAATCACGGTGCAACTCTTTACCAGAAAACATATAAGAGGAAGCAAAAAGCTATCAATTTTTAAAAATGAAAATCGCTAGCTACCCATCGCTCTTAAAACACGCCATTTCTGTACACAATGTATCTATATATAGAATTTTAATTTTATATCTGGATGCTAACTCCTTAAAACTTGTAACAATTTGTTTATATTGTTTTACGCGCCCATTGTGCAAACCAGCATCAGCTCACAATGTTAGCGTGGATAAATAAATAAAGTTTATTGTGCTCATCATCGCGCAAAATTCCTTTCTTGTCACAGCACTGTATAGCTGGAACGAGTGAAAATGCCTTTATAAATCCGCCTTTTATATGGAAAGGTGGCACCGAAGAGAATGTTTTTCGTGGCAAAAATTTTGCTGAACCAACCATTATAAAAAGTCAAAAATTTGATTACCCAACCTCAAATGTCAATTAAAAAATAAATACCCACCCCTGGCCAAAAACGTTACAAAAAGATACCATTCTGTTGTCACACATGTCCTTTGATATGAGTTTGATAACGGCTTGTGAAAGTTTCTGCAGTCTAAAGTTTCATATTGTCTGCACATGTAGTTTCTTTGGAGACACCATTTGTCTCCTGACAAATCGGAAAATGATCAGGATAGTGACAGTGACTGATTCACATATTGTATTTACATATGACTGTTGACATTACTTTTTAGTTTCCAATATTTCAGTGACTACTGCTTTGGAAATGACAATAAATTTTTATTACCCAACCCTTGAGTTGTTTTGTTTTTCATTTATCCAACCTTTTACTTACTCAAAATTTTATTTACCCAACCCTTTCTTGAATGAACGCCCTCTTTTGCTGGAAAGAAAGTGACCTTTTTGCAGCAGTAAAGACTCTGTAAAGGCCATTTCCGACGTTATAGAGACTCCATATTTTCAAAAATTTTCGTTCGGCTCGTGAACGAAATGAAATCGTTTCATTTTGGTCATATACAAAAGTGCCCTTTTTGGCCAATGCCCCTCCACTTTCGAAATGCTTCTGCGGCCTCTGAGTGTGGGAAATGACGTCTGGGTTCGCTAGCTAATAATTCTATATCTATTATAATTATTCCTACGATATAAGCCAATGAGCGCAGTTCAAATTATGCTCATCGATACCTACAATGGAGTTAAAGTCAAAGGGGATTTGTTATTTTAGACCTAACCGATTACGTCTAAAATATTATATATTTAGTTGTGGCTGGAAATTCGAATTCTTCCCATAAGCCCTTCAAATTCCTGTTCTATTTAGCGAGTGTAGAATATTTATTCAAGATATGATACTTACCAACTACATTTATTCATGTACTCTGCTAAAATCCTTTTTATCCTCGAACTTTTGTGGTCTTTTTAGACTTTCGCTACAAAATAAGGACTTGTTAAATGAAAAAAATGGTTTTGTTAAATGAAAAAAATAAGGCTGATTGTCTTATTTTTCAATGGACTCACGAACTTACTAAATTATAACTAAAGTATGAAACTCTGAACAACTTACCGAGGTTCACAAGGCCGTGGCTTTCCTTATATGCACACAAAATCTTGCGAAGGCTCGTTTTCAAGTGCTTGTTAATTTCGGTGCCTAAATATGCCCCTTAATCGGAGGGGGTAGTTAGCTTTTGATATTATTATAGAAATATATCAATAACGTTTTGGAAGTACCACTTATCACAAAGCACGTAACGAACAACAAAATCTAGAACTTGGAATGCAAAATTCAAACATTAATTTTAGCGGTAATCACCCTCCATAAAGGCGTGCATAAATTAAATATTTGTTCATTGTTTCAAACTTGGTTTTATTGGATGAAATTTGACGTTACCAGGGGCGAACTTCACTGTTGCTATAAGGTAAAACTTCCTCTACCAAATGAGAATGCGAGGTTGTTTACGTTGTACTGTAAAATGAAATTCACAATGGCTTGACGCCATCTCGCTCAGAAAAACAGTATAAAGCACGAGAACATTTAAATCCTATTTGAATTACTCCGGGAAAATATTGTGAATTTCATTTTACAGTGCAACCTAAACAACCTCGCATTATCATTTGGTAGAGGAAGTTTTACCTGTAGCAACAACGAAGTTGCCCCTAGTAACGCCAACTTTCATCCAATAAATCAAGTTTGAAACAATGAACAAATGTTTAATTTATGCACGCCTTGCGAGCAAGTGCAATTGGCCGTATTCGTGTGCAAATTCTTTTGTTATATTGTGCCACGGAGTGGTCCAAGAAATGCTGAATAAGGATGCTACGATATTCAACGAGACGACGACGGCCATTGATACAATGGAATTATTTTTTACCTCCGTCAGGAGGTTATGTTTTTATGCATGATATATAACGAATTCAGCCGAGCGCTATCTCTAAGACTTCGGTTGATAACACAAAGTGAGGTCTTGATAATTTCTCATATCATTCTCATATCATTCAACGATTGTTTTATTGTTTATTTAAGTGGCCAAAAGCCATTTGTGTTGCGAGACAATTTCTCGCTCCTTTGATCGGCAGTCGTTGTTGGCATCAGTGTTGGCTGTTAGTCAATCAGAAATTACGATTTTTTAAATATATTACAATTGTTCTAGAATGGTCCAATATCGTACCAAGACTATATGCCCGTGTTTATCAGACCTAAAGATTATGCGTGTTTTATCAGACCTAAAGATTATGCGTGTTTTACCAGACCTAAAGATTATGCGTGTTTTATCAGACCTAAAGATTATGCGTGTTTTATCAGACCTAAAGATTATGCGTGTTTTACCAGACCTAAAAGATACTCGGCTTCGCCTCGTATCTTTATATCTGATAAAACACCGCTGCTCATGTTTTAACTGGTACTTAAAGTTTGTGAGTTCATGGCAAGCAGGTATAATATCAGTCATGTTTTCGCTCGCAACTCTAATTTTTAATATATAAATGAATGCAAAGCCCAGTCGAATTTCATGCACGACCCAACGTTTCGACACTCCAGTCACTAGTCTTCATCAGGGTTGATCTGAAGTCACAACGTGGCTTCTTATGAACGAGCTGCTCGATTGCATAAAAAACGACGCCAGAATAGATTATATATTGCTTATACGAGAGAATATAGCGCTGTAATTACACGATTCCTACGTAATATAAGTCAGCCTTTCATAGAATAAGGCAGCAGATTATAGAGTAAGGTTTCCAATCCAGTGACCACTTGCAATCCAAGAGAAACATAATATATAGACCTGGTCGTTTGAAACGACCTGAGAAGTCCCATAACAAATTCCTTAAATAAATGTGATTAATCCCAAGTATGATTTTTTGTATGTGTAATATTTGGGTCATTCGAAGAAATGTAATATATCTTTATAATGAAAAATCCCATCTTGATCAACTTTTTCACTGTTAAAGTTTCCAGATATGATCATTAGGTGAATTGCAAATTAATTTTCCTTTGTTCTTTTGTACCAACAATTCACCTAATGACATCATATCTGGAAACTTTGACAGTGAAAAAGTTGATCAAGACGAGGTTTTTTACTATAAAGATACATTACATTTCTTCTTAGAATGACCCAAATATTACACATACCAAAAATCATAGTCGCACTTTAAGAAAAAGTCAAACATTCTTCTTCGACTGTACCTAATTATATAACCATTCTAAGAACACTTCGGATTAAAATATTTCTGATTCTTTTCTGAAGTGTTGATAATCACAAACTAAAACAGCGGGTTAAAATGTGATTCAGGGATAGCGCTAATCCAGCTTTGAACAACCGGTCCCAATAAATTTAACCAGAAATATTCAGTTAACCAAATTCTCGGTTAACCAGAGAATTTTAACCCGGGTGTTTTTAAGGCTCGTTTTACAGTTGCAATTTTTGCTGCGATTTTCTCTTCTCATGGATGTGAACAATGGAGGAGTTATGAATGTTCAGATTCACAACTCATCTACTCGTTCACATGCATCAAAAGACCAAAATCGTAAACGTGCCTTTACGGTGTATTAGATCCAATAGACCTTTCCCCTTTTAAGTGAGATTTTGATCAAGACAAGCCTTGACAAAATCGATCACAGCTTGATCACAGCTTGAAAAAGCATCACAACATTAGTAATATTCCAAAGTTTCGTTGCGAAATGTTGTAAAATGCGGATAATATAGCCTTGCGAAGTTTGCCGTTTTTCAGTCATTTAGATTACAAATAGGAAATTTATAATCAGTTTGATCATCTGATTATCAATTTCCCGTTTGTAATCTAAATGACTGAAAAACGGCAAACTACGCAAGGCTATATTATCCGCATTTTACAACATTTCGCAACGAAACTTTGGAATATTACTAATTTTGTGATGCTCTTTCAAGCTGTGATGAAATTTTTGTTCAGACTTGTCTTGATCAAAAAGGGGAAAGGTCTATTAGAAACTACGTATCTTTGTATGTATACTGCACGATAACGTAACTCTGTTACATTATATGAACCCTTTAGACATTTCAATTTATATATGAATTGTGACAGACTGGCAGTGTTGTTATATGGTAAGTATTATACGTAAAAGGCGTATATTATTCCAATTATCGCAGCTAATCTATATACAGGTAATACAGGGTGTGTATAATAAAAGATAATTCGGCTTTACAGTGCTGTTGTACGCTCAATACTAGTCTAGGCCCTAGGGGCATCTATAGTGAAGATTTAATTTTCTCATATTAATGAAGATCAGGGGCCGGTTGTATAAAACTCTTAATCACTTTTTTAATCACTATTTTGTAGTTAAATAGTGATTAACTCTCAAATACGCGCTTCTTATTGGATGACGTTTCCACTAACTATAGTTAACTTTAATCACTTTTTTATACAACCGGCCCCAGGGTTTTAGTTTTTTTGTATCATATCAAGCAAGAATGACAGAATACGAGCCGATTGAAATTGCCGCTTGAAATCACATTTTCCACCTATGTGCATTATTAAATCTGTGCAGAACAAAAAAAAATAATTAAAATTCATGATAATAAATTTACGTAGTGTTTCCACAAACAAAACTATTATAAAATTCATGAATTTTAGATCCAAATGGGATTTACTTTCAATAGTCTTTCACCAAATTCCCAACGGTGGGAAAATGCGATTTCCACCGGAAATTTTTATTCGTTTCGTATTTGGCCATTTTCTCTTATGATACAAAAAAGTTATCATTGGACAGCTAGAAGCCTGGATTTTCTTGCTGTGTAAAAAGTTTATTGATAAACTCAATATCTAAAGCACGCAAACATGCTGAAGTTGGATCTTATTTTTTGATACACGGCCCTGTATATCAAATTTTGCCGGCCAGGTCTAAAACACACTAGAGTAAACATTCAAGCCTAGTTTTTCACGCAGTCCATACCATGCATACCAGTAGAGTTCACTTGCCAACAACCATAGCAAGCAATGCCATACGAACATACATACCATACTCGGCCTGGCGGAAATATGCCGCACGGGGATCCGTGTCTATTTCGGTACTGTAAGAGAAGGAAGAATTACTACTTTGCAACAGAGGTGGAAAAGTATCGGAACAACCTGCTTAGCAGAAATCAAAATTTACATTTGTTTCTACTGTACATCAACCTTGGCTGGCTCTAGAGATTTATTTTCATTGCATATACAGTATTAAAAATGGCGAAGGCAAAATAAACTTCTGGTTCGAACCAATCTGTTTAAAGTAGGTTCAGATTCCATCTCTGTCGCCTGATTGGATAATTACACAAAGAAGTTCTCCAATTGGTTCAGTTCAAAACTTGTCACGTGTCAAGTGTGTTCTGATTGGTTGATTGTTAATTGGATGACGTTGTACGATAGCCATGTTGTTGCCGCTTTCAACAAAAGGTTTATTTTCACTTCGCCATTCCTAATATTATATGCAATGAAAATACGCCACTGGAACGAGGGTACTATACAACCAGAATAGTAAATTTTGAAATTTAATATTCTGTCTGAAAATCCACTATTTTGTTGTGCTCTAATTCATGCAAACACTTCTGTTCGGTGCCGTAAACCGTTGTTTTTCGACCATGAAAGCAAGGTAGGCTATAGACTATAGAGTAAGCTAATTATGTACAAAATTTAAGGCAAAAAAGTTTAAGGAACTGAGATTTCAAGCAATAAAATGTTGTCATATAGTGGAAACCTAATCCCCCCTCCCCAATATTTCGCGAAGTGTTCGCCATTGTATTCTGCTGTTTATAAACCAAGAATCTATAAACATAAGCTCCTAGCGGATGTAATAAGGTTAAACACAATAAATACCAACTCAAGTTCTCTTTCTAGATTTATTATATACATGACAAAATTACTGCAATCTAATTGGTTAAGAGGAGTGCAATTATTTCATTAATTGCACTCTCCAGGAGTGCAATTAATAATTTTCGTGATGGCTGGGGGGAGCGGGAAATCAAAACAACAAAATCCAATATGGCGGCGAAATTTAGCTAATTATTTCTAACAAATGTGGACGAATTTAACTGAATTTTGGCACAAGAATGAGTTTAAGAAACATTGTATGGCAAAAAGAGCCTGTGGAAAATACCTGGAAACATTTTTAAGAAATAATCTTGGCGGGATGCAGCGAAACATGACTTTGTAAGTTTGAAATACAATTTATAAAGATTTTCTTAGTCTAAAATATGTTGTTTGAATTTGAATCTTGTGTTCTAGTTTACGTTATGTGCCTTTGTGAGTTTATAATCATTTCCCAAGTTTGTTTATACTAAATTGCTTACAAAGGAATTAAAAACTCTTGACAAAATCGTGATATTTGAAAAATGTGCCAAATTGCACTCGCCTCGGCGGCTCGTGCAATTTTGGCACATTTTTCAAATATCACTCGTAGTGTTAATAATTAATTGCAATCCTTCCCGTGTGATTACCTATACTAATGGCAGTGTATACACTGCAACGTACCTAATTTCATTGATTCGAGGTAGTGGATGCATCACGACCATTTTCTCTTTCGCTTTGGTAAGAGTCTCTGGCGTTATTACGTAGCTGTCACACACCTACAGTATAGAGAAACAAGTTTTAATAGTAGTAGATTGGAGGATACGTGTTTTGATACCTCTATATCTGTTCTAATCTGTTCTCCCCAGCTTGTGTGCAGACTCAACAATATTTAAAAAATTGGAGTCGAGTCTACACGCAGGCTAGTTCTACTAACAAACCTTATTGTACTCTTCGATGCTTTTAAACCTTTCTTTTTGAACTCGTGTAACATAAAGTACATCAGTATCCGGGAGAACTTCGTCAAGGCTTGTATATTCCTCCTGTGAGAATAAACAGTTATTGGATGAGATTTTTGTGATATCCAAAATCAGCAAGGTCGAGTCATTACGTGTTTTAACGTAAGCGTCTTTACTTGACTCCGATCCAGTCTAGACCTAGGCAAATTTTGGACTAGTATTTGGTAGCCAGCCGAGAGAAGGGTCTAGGGTTGACCCCGATTATATACAGTAAATGTTTCGTTTGAAGTTGTCCTCAATATATCGTAGGAAGCGTTTAAATTCAGTTAGGATGCAGACTTATCGCAGTATTTACGAGACTCCACCCTTGTAGTCAAGGCTTTCATAATCTTTCATAAGGAACTACCTGTGGCGAGAAAGCAGGCAGCTATCCTCAATACAGGTACATTTTTACTTTGTACACTTTTTTGCTTGATCATGCAATTAGCTGAACAAGCTAAGCTTAAACAATATTATACCTCATATTGTCCAATCAAAGATGTTTTTGTACCACGTGACGCTGTGATACGTTACGGTATTTCACTCAATTCCATGATTACCCACTGCAACGTGGTATACCATAGTATGCTACCATAGAATACCACGCTCACGCGTGGACACCACGCGCTTAGCATAATGAAAAAATATGGCAGAACAAAACAAGGAAACCTCATGTTACTTTTAATGATCCAAAGGATACAGGATCAAGGGGAAACGTCAAAAACCCAGGTATAAATAAAAAATTAAACATTGTATGGCTTAGTTATTCAGAAAGTTTATTCTCAACTTGGTGGGTTCTTTAATTTTCGGTATAATCATCATTTATAGACCCTCCGCTCGGGGAATTCGGCGAAACATCACCGAATTGTTTTCGGGTAATATTCCAACTTCGAAACTTCGCCATAAAAAACAATTTGTCTGTTTTTAGTACGCAAAACAATGTCAGGTGATTTGCACTTCGAAAGTTTCAACTTAGCTCAGCTGGCGCTAGGCCACGAGAACGTCACTTGAAAGAAACACGATATTCCTTAACTCCGGTCTGAATGTCACAGGCTAACCGAAATTTCCAATTTGATTAAATTGCCAAATTTTTTAATCTTCTGACTAACACCCTGTGTTGGAAGTAGTGGATTGCTCTCCCACTAAAACTCAATGCTCGGATGGTCGCGCCAAGCTGTAATACCCCTTTAGACACCCCCCCCCAAACCGCGCTAATCAAGCTGGATCATGTCTCTGAAAAGGTTTAAGCTTTCATAAAAGTTATATACCTGTGTAATCCCGCGTTGGGTTACGTACTCCTTCACCTCGTCAGGCATTTTCAGGCATTCAGGCGAGACATATCTGAGATTGACACGATAGAGACTGAGCAACCTCGCCAGAGAGTGAACTGTACGACCATGTTTGAGATCACCAATCATTGTTATCTAACAGAAAGAGAAAAATTCCATACTAAAATTGAAGATTAAGATTTCTATGGTGCAAATGTACAATGATGATTCAATGCACTTTACAACAAGTACTGCGTATGCTTACCTAATTACGTACTTAGCCTGCACGCGTTATAAAAACGAACAACCTAACTGTCCCCGGTTGATATAAACAGGCGTGAACAAGGTTGTGCTGCACCCTAAGAACAAGTTGTCAACGGTGTTGTTACAGCATTGTTACAACTGAACAATACTGTAACAATATTGTTGTGAGGAAGCCAAATTGTTATATAATACAGTAGTCAAGCAAGACTTTTCAGTAGTGAAGCAAGTTGATGGGCGGGCGGCACACATGACCGACACAACTCGGCACCAGAGCTGGCAAACCGACCAGATCATGCTGGATCCATCCCTGATCCTAATGATCCAGAAGATTCTACAGTATTGTGGCAAATTGCGGCACTATCGAACACAGTTCAAAGCTGGATTAGTGCTAACTGAACCTGGTGTTTCTGCACGTCCGTAAAACATCTATTGATCCTGACAAGATTTCTGGAATAACATTTCCACCGAGTTGTTATACAAGCTGTTAGGGAGTTTGTTTTGAAGTTTTACGTTATAAGATTAAACTAACCGGCTTTCGAAAATTGCCCCCGAGTGGGCATTTGAGTTATATTCCAACTGGACTAGATTTCAAGTCCGCCAATTGATCAAGTGCGAGGCCAGGCAGAGGACAGGATCAAAATGCGAGGACTTGAAATCTAGTCCAGTCCGAATTGGAGGATTTGAAATGACATCATATACGAATAAATCACTGCTCAAAGTGAGGTGAATTAATTTTGATCCAGTCCAAGGAGTGAATTAATTTTGATCTAGTCCTAGAACTGGATCAATATACTTCATTAAGTATCCAGTATTATCATGTGAGCAGAATAAAGAATATGGTTGGCTAATATATTATTCTGTTTTACCGTTAGACCATTCACGGTGCCGATTTCTTCTCGTATCGTAAAGACATCGAGCAAAGCCTGGGTGGGATGTTCTCCTACACCATCACCCGCATTGATCACTGGCTTCAGAGAATTCTTGGCTGCTTCCTGGAATTACAAAATGATAGTTGACAATTATTCACATTAGTGTCGGTGAATATAGTGCAAGGATATTCATCTCAACGCTTTAGCAATATACCATAACAAAACAAAAATGACCAAGAAACAACGCAAATATTTTGAAAATAAGTGTATTTCAGCTCCCATAATAGCATACGAGTCACTATTTAGGAACAGTACTATTTTTAGACTTTTAGGGTTTGGATTAAGGAAAGGGTTAAGGTTAAGATTAGGGTTAGAGTAAGGGTTAGGGTTAAGTTTAAAATACAAACGAATACAAAATGACAAAGTCTAAAAATAGTAACTCTTCCTAAAACGTGACAGGTATAGTCAAAGTACTTTATAGAGTTGCCCATTTGATAGGGGATCCGAGGAACCTACGATTTTAACGTCCTTATCCGAGAAGACGCGAAAGTCTAACGATTTACCAATGTCAGTGTAAAGGTAGCACTTTCTCCCCTTTGAGTAGAGGTCCATTGGATTATGACTAAATATGGTGATAAAACATTATAGTTCATAAAAGTAAAGTTGTATAGATACCTCTACGGCCCCAGGTGTTGGATGACGTAACACTACAACATCACAGTAAGATTGCATCATCTGTACACTATCTGGAAAACACAGTAGGTATAATATTGCTGTTAAATTGAGGCGGGCAATCAAGACAGAACCGATAGAGCTATCCACTATCCAGTATCAATAAAATTAGTTCAGTTCAGATTTCTTTCTGAAGTAACACAGAACCAATAAGGATGCTTCTTACTGGACCTCTAAGGGAAACAGTTTATAACTTAGGCTATATATTGAGCTATCCAGTATAAATGAAGTCAGTCGGTTTAGGTTTCCTCCTGCAGTAACTACTGGAGGGAAGACTCTTACTGGGTCTAGGGAAAGCAGTTTACAACTGATAGAGCTATCTATAGTATAAATATAGTTAGTTTAGGTTTTCTCCTGCAGTAACTCTATAGAGGAAAGATCCTTACTGGGTCTAGGGAATTAAGGCAGTTTAGAACTGGTAGAACTATCTAGTTCAAATAAAGTTAGTTTAGCTTAGGTTCTCTCTGTAGTAACACTGGATCAAAACGAAATAGTATTTATTGGATAGAACTATCCAGCATAAATAAAGTCAGTTTAGCTCCGATTTCCTGCTGTAGTAAACCCGCGGATCAAACGAGGATGAGTTGCACGAGAGTTGGCATTTATTGCACTTCTAGAATAGGACAGTTTAGAACTACAGATATAAATAAAATCAGTTAAACCAATCATACCAGAAAGTGTTTCACCCTTCATCGCAGATGAGTCAGAAGACTTCAAAGGAATAACGGAGCCTCCTAGTCTTTGCATGGCTGCCGCGAAGGAACAAAATGTACGAGTACTTGCTTCGAAGAACATGGAACCCATGATACGACCCTATTGCATAAAATTAAACAAATGTATACTAGAATCGTCAATTTCACTCTGAAATTTGGTCCTTGAAATAGGTTATTTTTGGTGTGTGTAATATTTGGATTAAAAAGAAATGTAATATATCTTTGTGGGAAAAAAAAATTTATATCAAGATTTTCACTGTAGTGGTCACTGGATATGAGTCACCAGATGAATTACAAATTTAGTTTCCCTTTACTCTTTCCCTGCTAAAATTAATCTAATAATATAATATTCGGACTTTCTACAGTGTAAAAGTTGATAAAAATGAGCTTTTTTAAAACTATAAAGGTATATTTCATTTCTTCTTAAAATGACTCAAGCATTACACATATTTCAGAACCATTCTCCGATATGAAAAATGAGTATAGGCGCTTCCAAGGTTAAGGACGCCATCTTGAATCTATTGCTTTCACCATTGTGTTTGTACCTCCTGCAAATTTACGTATAGGGAATTTCACCCCTTGCATTATTGTGTTTCATTATGGCGTCGTTAACGTTGGAAGGGTCTATTCTGACATTGCACAGTACAGTAAAACCCTGCATATAAGAATTTAGACCCCCTTTAAATAAGAACCTGCTTAGGCTAGAATTTCAAAGCAGGTTCTTATTTTATCAAATAGAGTCAAAATTAAAAATTATGAAGAGCTCTTCACAAAGTAATGAAAATTACCCAGAACCCTGGAAACGTCATTCAGATACATAACATGTCTATATGAACCTAACACCAAATAATTGCATTTCTTCAGTGAAAATACTACATGACAATCTCGACTACTAGTGCCTGTAAGCAATGTTTTCAAGCATCATGGACTGTTAGATAATTTGTGCATAATTTATATAAATTGTACACCACACCTACCGAAAATGAGTCGATTTGTTCTTAAGAAAATAAGAATATCCTATTTAAGAACCTGTTTAGCCCAATTCCTGGTAAGCACCATAAGAACCTGTTTAGCATTACTCGTACCAAAAACTATATTTGGGGTTAGTGGCAATTTAAATCTGGTACATGTTACTGCTTATATTCATAGAGAAATTGTAAAATGTAAACGATCACAACATTTAAATCTTACCTCAAGAATTGAAACATAACCATCCCTCTGTACGATCAATCTCATCTCGTGTGCCACATTGAATAGATGACGTAACTGCAAAAAATGAAGTATCATTATAACTTTCTGTCTGTATGAAAATAAACAACAAGTGGCCAAAAACTCAGCCCTCCTTAGATATCCACAGTACAAGGTCCACCATTTGTCGAGTGTTACTACCGAAACAATTATATACTCAGAGCCCCAGAGATGGAAGTAAAGGCATATAGACGAACAACTGTGTGCGCGAAGCTCCTCTCAGCTATGGAATTTGACAATACGTTACAAATCACCTTCTAAAAGCAGGGTCCCCACCTTTTAGTGAAGATGAAATTCAAAGGACTTTTCCAGGACTTTCAAGGACCTTTTTCAGTATATTCAAGGACAATGTAACCACCTTTTTAGTTTACACATAATGTGAACAAATATCAAATTATGTGACCGACTGATCGTCGAATACCCGCTTCGCAACACAACTTTTGGACAATTGTTATTACATAATTTTAATTAAAATTGGAGAAAATAAACATTTGGGCAATAATCCTTGGGCTGGTAATAATTCTTCAATTATTTCCAGCCTACTGAAAAAAAAATTCCAGGACTTTCAAGGACCTTATCAGTTTCCAAGGACTTTCCAGGCCTGGATTTTTTAAAAAAAATTCAAGGACTTTCCAGGATTTTCAAGGACCGTGGGGACCCTGTAGAAGGCCTTGACTTCGAATGTGGAAGTGTTTTTAACCCCATTGAGCGTCAGGGCAGTCCCCTTGGCGACTGAAATAGTCTGACGTTAGACAGAGTAAAATAATAACCTAGGGCGCCATGCGACTCAATGGGTTAAGTAGACACATGGGCAGATAGCCTGATTAATCCATTGAGCGCCAGCACTCTCCACTTGACGAGTAAAATCTTCTGGCGTTAGACAGAGTAAAATAATAAAGTAGGCCGCATCAGGGCGCAATGCAACTCAATGAGTTAAGCTTTCTCGAAAATGTTCAGACACAAACCAGGGCAGATTATTTGAGCAAGATGACGTGGGTAATTGTGGGCCAACCTGTGTTTTCGTGAAGCTCTTTACAGTAAGTACGTGATGTTTATGTAATCCATGATACGACGAAGGAGGCAACGGGAATTTCCGACTGCTTGGCGGCGAGGGACGAGGTGCAGCGACTACGGATGCAGGAGTTGGTTGTGGAAGTTCCAAAGAATGAGCCGGAGTCATAGCGTCTAAAGGGAAACAAAATTTTGTGATTTTTTCTGAGCAAATATTTGCAACGAAGCCCAGAGGAGGAAAAGTTATTGGAACCTGGGAACCAAGTTACCAGAATTTTTTTTGGATTTATATTTTCATTTTTTTTTGTTTTATAGCTAATTCTGAAAATTAAACCGATCAAATATCTAAATCACTAAATACCTAATTATTGAGATGATTAAACACAAATAATCTTATTAACTCGGTACCTAAATTACAGCGGAAAAGTTTCATCAAAAATATTTATATAACCTGCAGTAGGAAATTTGTTTTTAATCCTGTAAGACTGTAATCATTATGACTACTTGAGCATTTAATCTTGTGTGCCTTATCAGTCTTGTGTGACATATCACTATAGCTTACAAACGACAATTTTGTTATTTTCGCCCATTTACTGTAATCTTTTGCAGGAAATATTGAGCAATTGAGCCCCAAACTCATGAAACCATAAGGAACATACCTAGACCTAGCCGTGGTGAGGCGTTATCCCCAGAATAAAAAGCCTTTTCCAAACTGCGTTGTACATTTGGAGGAAATACCCAACGTTGTTCTGTCATCTTTAATGGACTGCTAGGAGCTGAGCCCACGGCAAGAGGTTTCACCGGTGCTGACGCGTACGGCACGAAACCATGGCAACGAATATCTTCACCATAACCCGGCTCGGCTAACACCTGAAGTGAAAAGAGTAGTAGTTTGAATGCAAAAATTGGGTTCAATCAGTAAAAAATATGGCTGCACTTTTCGACACCTTGTATAAGAAGAATTCTTAAGGGCTATTCCATATGAGAAGTAAGAAATGATTCATGCAATGAATGTCAAGAGATTTTTGACTGATTTAATAGGTACCACGCACACTGTATAATGTCCGTAACATTTTGTGTAATGTCTGTAACACACATTTTCACCAGTAAAAATTATGAGTGAAATTAATAGACTGACTGTAATATACAATTGCATTAATATACTGTGACTTGTTGTCCGTTTTAATAAAGTAGTATTGTTTTTCGACCATTTGAGATTCACAGAAATTAAGTTTTAAAATTATGAACTGAAATGAATGGTTGTTTTAGCTGTAATATCCATAAACAACTTTTGAAACCAATTGGGTAAGCATTTATAAATATCTATACCAGTGTATTTCGCTTTGCATCACAAAGGGTTAGCCTTAGGTAAAATAATAAAAGCCTAATAAAACTCGAATATGTTATAACTACTTTATGAAGAGTAGAAAGAAAATGTTGCCAAATGGTCTCTGGATTTAATGTCCATAATGGTGGAAGAACCCTTACGTATACATAGCTGGCTCACCTTCCCATCAACCATTGCAATCTGTCCTCTCAAGAACACGCGTTTCACAGATCCATAAACTTTCATGCCCGAAAACGGCGTCCACCTGGACTTTGTGTAATTCATAGCGTCAGGAATGGTCCATTCTGAGCCAACTTCAACTTCTATGTACGTATCAGGTTGTTCAGGCAAGCCAAATATACGTCTTGGATTTGTATGAAGTCGAAGTATAATATCCTGAAGAAATTAAACGTGGCACATTGGACCTCTATAGAGAACAGTTTAGAACATATAGAACTATCCAGTATAAATAAAGTTAGCTTAGTTTAGGTTTCTTCATGTAGTAGTGAAGTTAGTTTCCTTTACATTTCTTCTTGGGGTAACACTGGATCAATAAGGTATGATCCTTACTAAATCTCTAGTGAGAAAAGTTTAGAACTGATAGAGCTGTACAGTATATGTAAGTTAGTTTAGCTTAGGTTTCCTCGTGTAGTAACACTGGATCAACAAAGTACGACACCTATTGGACCTTTTGGTAGAACAGTTTAGAACTGATGGAGCAACCAGTATAAATAAAGTTAGTTCAGTTTAGGTTTTCTCATGTAGGAACACTGGATCAATAGGTATGACACTTACTGGACCTCTCAGGAGAACAGTTTAGAACTGATAGTAAAGTTAGTTTAGTTCAGGTTTCCTCCTGTAGTAACACTGGATCAATAATTTATGACCCTAACTGGACCTCTAAGGAGAATATACTGGATAGCTCTAAACGGAAGGATTCGTTCTAAACGGAAGTAAAGTTATTTTAGTATAGGTTAACTTTTAATCTCAGTAAGTTGATGCATAGCGATGCACCTACCTCAATCGTTAATTTTCCCTGATGAACAGCTGTAAGAAGCAGCGGCAACATTGTCTCCAATCCTGGAAATCCTGGAGGAGCATTTTCAGAATCTTTCTCGGAAATTGAATGTGGAGCTAAATTTAGAAGAAAGGCAAAACAAAATCATTATGGTGCATACGAATTGAAAACCATTATATGGTTGAGTTTCACTAAGTACTATTGTGCAGTAGATGGTGGTCAACTGGCAGTTATATTATAACGTTGATTAGTTTCAATATATCTAGCTGTTTTGTATTCAAATATACATGCGTAAAAGCGCACAAGTTGTTACAGATCTGGAAACAAGTTGTAAAAAGATAGTTGTCAAGCCGATATCAACATGTGTTCTCACTGCTTCTTCCAAGTTGTTGTGACAAGCAGATCTGGAACAAGTTGTTATCACCTTGTTACAAGGTTGATGACGTTAACAGACTTGCTGCAAGTTGTTCCAACAAAACTAATACAGGCTGTTCGTAACAAGTTGCTACGAGCTTGTTGTTATCAACTTGTTACGAGTCTGCTGGCCTCATGTAACCTTGTTATAAGATGATAACAACTTATTCCAGACTTGTCAACAAATGGAAACAAGCAGTGCGAACACATCTTGTTGAAAAGTTGTGAGATTTCAACAAGATGTGTTCGCAACGGGCTTGTAGCAAGCTTGTCAACAAGTTGTGACAATGCGGTTATTTATCAAGTTGCTACAAGATTGTCACTCACAACTTGTTGACAAATTGTTGAATTGCAGGACGATAACAAGTTGTTGAAACAACTTGTAACAAGACTGTTGATCTGAACAACCTTGTAGCAAGTTGTCAACAAGCCGTTGACAACTTGTCAACAAGCTGGGAACAAGCAGTGCGAACACATCCTGATGACAAGTTGTTGGAACAGCATTGCTACAAGTCTGCTGCAGGTTTGTTACAACTTGTGCGTTTTTACGTGTGTAGATTAATACTTTTGCCACGATCTGATCACATGATTCGGGAACGCGTTTGCGTGTTTACAGAACACAATTGAACAGGGCTGTACCATGATCTGTTGCAAAGCAGTCAATGATATCCATGTTATCCCACAATGCCTGTTGGTCTTCAGCGGTCACAAGAGGAGGTTTAACACGGCATCTGGTTGGTCCAATTCTTTCTACGTCATCTTGCGTCAAGAACAAGTGATGTGGTGCAACTTCACACGTCACTGGAAAACCTTTTTCTTTCATTGCTCGGATAATCATGATCTAGATAATAAATAATTTGCTTAAAATCGTAAGAGACTATGTGCCCTCAAAATTCTTATACTGGATAGCCTATCAGTTCTAAAATATTCTCTTAAAGATCTTGCATAAGAACCATCTCTTATTGATCCAGTATCACTACAGGAAAAAACGTAAACTAACCTAACTTTTTGACACTGGGTAGCTCTATCAGTTCTGCCTAGAGGTCCTGTAAGAGCAATCTCGTATTGGTCCAGTGTTACTACACAAGGAAATCTAAGCGAAACTAACTTTATTTATATTGGACAGCTCTATCAGTTCAAAAGTGTTCTCACTAGAGGTCCAGTAAGATCCATCCCTTATTGAGAAAAAACATACACTTAACTAATTGTATTACTACAGAAGGGAACTTAAACTGAACTAACTTCTTTATACTAGATGTAATATTTCAAATCCGACTATGAGGACTGGACTAGATTTCAAGTCTGCGCAATTTGATCAAGTGGCCGAGGCGAAGCTGAGGACTGGGTTAAAATGCGAAGACTTGAAATCTAGTCCAGTCCTCATAGTCAGATTTGAAATATTACATCCCATACGAATAAATCACTACTGAGAGTGAGGTGAATTAATTTTGATCCAGTCCAAGGATTGAATTAATTTTGATCCAGTGCTAGGAATGCATCAATATACTTCACCAGGTATCCAGTGTAATCACGTGAGCTATCATGAATTATTAATGAGTTTGAGGTAGCTTTATCAGCACTAAACTGTTCTACCCATAGACGGATTTTCATATTTTTTACTGGGGTGGTGCCAGAAATTTTAGGGGGGCGAGCCGTGAGCAGGTGACTTAGAGCAGAAAACAAAGTATCCCTGGAAAAATTTGAAAAAAATCATGATTTCTAGCTTCGAAAAAAGTTTTTTGAAGTTGTCATATCAATGGATTTGGCATGTCCGATTGTCTGTTGAGACTTGAGGGAGTTAAAGTTAAATGAACCTGTAAAAGTGTAAACCCAATAGGCCAATACACAGTATGCTTTTACTTTTATAAAGTCATTGACATTGTATCGTTTGAATCCAAGTACAATTTATGATGCAACTCCGACGTAAATAATATTTGGGGCGTAAAGATTAAATCTAGGCAAGTCTATTTCCTAAAAGAATTAAAAACTAAAAATAATGTTCGTAAAAATTCCAAACGTTCCTTGCAAGCAAGCTATTTGCATGACAAGGCACTGCAAACTCTATTCAGGGGAGATAATAGAGTTTCAAAACTTTACAATTGCTCCAATAAACCAGTGAATGCAAGCGAGGAGCGATTAGTTTCAGAGTATTGCACTGTCTTTTTCTATTTGAGTGTACTCCTCCGTTTATTTTGTATCATCAACACTCTGCACGTTGGAGTGGACTATTTAATTATTTTTTATTATGCTGAATATTGGGGGGGGGTTGAAATTTTTTTTGGAGGGGTGGACATTTTGTTTGGGGGGTTATAGCTAATATTGGGGGGGTAGCACCCCCCCCCCCACAAAATCCGTCTATGGACTCTCCATACAAAAGATGCATGCAAAAACAACTGTGCATGTTACACTACACGTGCTCAATTAGGATGATAAACAATAAAGTATAGACTGCAATAGCAATCCGTATATAAAAAACAAAATAAAAATAATATATTATACGGACTAACCTCTGATTGTCTAGCAACATGGCAGATATGTACAGGTCGGTCACATAGTTCCGCCAGTAACAAAATGGCTGCAGTCGTTTGACCTTCTGCGTGACAACATATTGGAAGATGTTTCGGCCAGTTGTTTAAATGCTGGTAAAATATAAAATGTTGTAAATGATACAAAGTGAGTGAGGATCTGGACGTGCGAATTACACGATTACCTTCATCCACAAGCTACAGTCGTCCAGTTTCAATGTCGTGAACGTTTCATTCAGGTACATCTTGAGACCAGCGGCTTGTCTCGCAAGTTGTGGAGATAAAGTTGTGTTTGTTGAACTAGCGCCGAAATATAGACCATAATCACAGCGTGAACCTTGGGCAGCCACCTGAAAAGACGAAAATTTTTCAGATAAATGATCTCGCATACCACTGGCCCGATTTATACATCGACCTTAGCAGGGTGCGATAATTTCGGAGGTACGCCAATATTGCTTTCCCCAGCCCATAGCCAAGGGAAGATGGCTGTGAAACTCATTAGAATAACAATATAACTCATTATCTATACTCAACTGTTTTAACAATTTTTAAAAAAATCAGGGTTTTTTTAAATATTTTTTTTACAATTGTCGAAATAATTGAGTATACCAAAAGAAATCATTTTATGAAATAAAAATTGGGGGTCACCGATGTCGTTTACGAATTAAATATCCGCCATTGCGAAAAAATTCAAACCCTTTAGATGTTGTTTTACATCAGTAAGATACTTCTTGTTTTTCAACAAGTAATAATCCAAAAATACGGATATAAATCGTGAATTTTCCATTCAAAAAAAAATATCGAGCCACCTTAAACTACAGGAATAACTGTTTTAGCTCGGTATTTTATAGGTCATGTGTAAACCCAGCTTTAGACATGCGTTTATCCTAGGTCGATCACCTCCCTAACCGCCTAACGAACTTCGTAAATCTTCATTTACCAGTTGTGCAACTTGAAATGACGCTTGATCAATCACAGCAGGGTTTGTATTCGGCATTGCTAGTACCATGGTTATGCCCCCAGCTAGGGCAGCTGCTGTACCAGAGGCGAAATCTTCCTTATAGCTCGCGCCGGGTTCTCGCATATGTACATGTACATCAATAAGACCTGGTAGTCGATAAGCTTGGAATGAAGATAGACAGTCGATGTGGGTCTTGATGGCTGGCGATCCACGAACTCTGCGTAGAGCCTAAATGATAAGATTTATATGTTAAAATGTCTATATTATATGTCTATAGGATATAGCTCTATCAGTTCGAAACTGCTCTCCCTAGAGATCCAGTCTTATCAGTTGGGTGCTACAGCTAGAGGAAACCTAAACTAAACTAACTTTTTTACACTGGATAACTCTGCCAGTTCTAAACTGGTTCTCCCTATAGAGGTCCAGTAAGGGTCACCATTTATTGATCCAGTGTTACTACAGGAGGAAACCTAAACCAACTTAACTTTTTTCATACTGGACAGCTTTATCAGTTCTAACTGTTCTCCTTAGAGGTGCAACTGATCTCTCTAGAGATGCAGTAAGAGCCATCCCTTATTGATCCAGTCTTATACCACAGGAGGAAACCTAAACTAAACTAACCTTATTCAAATTGAAAAACCCTATCAGTTAGAACTTTTTTCCGGTTTGGTCCATTACTAACATAGTGCTACGTGGATCTTAATATTCTCTGTATTGGAGACATGTAACAAATACAGTCAAGTATACGTTGTTGTTGCATACACATAATGGTGTAAAGTGTGGTCAAATTTCCAATTGTTTTTACGCACTTTTGAGGAACATTTGAAAAGGTAAATCCAGGATCCAAGGCCGGAACATTAACTGATACTTTTTCCAGGTCTCATAAACCACATAATATACTTTCCTTTTCATAAACAATTTAGTTCTGTTTTACCTCAATGAACAGTTTGGCGCATTTGATATCGGTGATCAAGGGTATGGAGTAATCAATAGCCATGCGCCTCGTGCGATATCCATGAGTCAGGAACGACGACGATCTCCTAGCACCAGAGTTTCTTAGAGGAAGATTAATGACCATGTCGAATTTATTTTGTGTTAAATAATCAGCTATGTTCTTCTTTTTACTGCCATTACCGCTTTCTTCAAACGGCCAGTCGACGGGTTGAACCTTAAGAATTTCAAAAATGGTTTAAGATGCGGCTAACCTGAAATTTTTTATCATCTCATTTTGAAGATCTTTTAAATTGATAAGGTAACTTATATTAACAACTTCATCGCTTGTCTGGGTTATCCAGGGACTTCCACATCCGAAACCAGCCCCTAGATAGAATATACCGCCCAAAGGGCTGGCAAATCCCCGCAACTCAGCCATGACCCCCACACCGGGCCCCAGACGCCTGTCACACTCACGTTCCAGACACTGTAACTGACCAACCACAGACATTCCCTGTTTTTCAGGGGAAACCCACGTGACTGAACAAGCTTCGCTTTCCGAACTCGTAGACCGAACTTAATACTCACTACTGAATAAATTTAGCTTCAATCTCAACCTACCTCGACTCCATGTTCAGAATAAAAGTCAGCGGTTCCCAGACTGGCATACAACTGATAGCCCAACTCTTTTAATGTCTTAACACTGGATAACATTTCATTCTTCGCCTTGAAGCTACCAATGGACAACATAATACTTTCCTTCGGGACAGTCATTCCAGTGCTGATCAAACCTTTGAAAAATGAATGCATATTCGGTTAGCGCCATGCCTCTTACCAGCTTGTCAACAAGATGTGTTTGCAATGCTTGTTTCCAGTGGCTTACAAGTCTGGAACAATTTGTTATCATCTTGTAATACAAAGGTTGAAGCCAACACACTGGCAACAAGTTGTTCCAACAAGTCTGATTTCGATACTTACAGAAGGATGATACTTACAGAAGAGCCCGCATAAAAGAACCACTATCTTTTATGCGAGGCTGAAGTGGTTCTTATCTAATAAGTACTTAGTGGGAAATACTGTAAGGCTGAGTTGGTTCTTGACTGGTTCTTATTGCGAGTCAAAAATAATTGTTCCTGGTTCGGTGTTTTAAATGACTTGTTTCCTTAATTAGTGAGCTCTGTCTTACGCCCGGTCAAACGAGAATGAGAGTTAATGAGAGTTGCCAGTCACGCATTGTTACGGGGAACATTTCAATGTCCACATTAACAAAATAAAGGTTTAATGAGCGTTCCAACTATGTACAATACAACTTACATAGAATACATGCTAGTGTTGGGAAAGCAAGAACAGCTAACCAAGATCATGCACTCTCATCATCGTTTGATCCGGGCTTTAGCTGGCAAGCACTTGCATTGTAAATTAGAGAAACACAACCTTGTGTGATCGACAGTAATGATATTACCATTACCTTTCAGATAAGCTTCATAGCGATTCTCTCCGAAACACGCCACTTCACCAGTACTGGCCATTTCCACGCCAAGCATTGCATCTGCACCAGCCAGACGAGCGAAGGAGAATTGTGGCACCTATACAAAGACACACAACACCACTTAGTGTTCTGAAGTTACGTATAAATGGGAAGAGAATGAGTGAACTCTCTGGCGAAAGGCGTGGGTTTTCTCCAGTTTCCTCCCACAGGGAAGGTTGACAGGGTGGGTTGGGATTAACCCCTAACTGACCCTTGCACCGTAGCTCTGCTCCGTGAACACACACGAGTCATAAGGTGGCTGCCTGAGGCGCCTTTAGAAAACCTTCGACTCGATCAGGTTGAGCTGCGTCCTTCGTAATTCAGCTCAGCTCTGAGCTGCAAGTAAGGATGATTGGCACACCCTCACTTCCTATAGTTTGATGAATTAAACATTGGAAATTTTAATTAGCTGTTCAAGAACCCGTAACCAATGTTTAAACTCAATTAACTCTAAGTACCCTCGAATGACTAACCTTTACTCCAACACGACCATTGCAGTTCAATTCCATCACGGGCTCAGGATCGGCGTCGCATATCACGCGGGTTGCCAAGGCAACGAAATCGTAATTGAGGGTTTTGGAAACGAAGGGGAATGATCTAGATACTCTCAGGTTACATTCGATAACTTTCAGTTCGTTGTCCTAAAAAAATACATACCGCTTAGAATCAGATAGCTTTATCAGTTCTAAACTTATCTCCCTACAGATTTATTAAAGATCATTGCTCCAGTGTTACTACAGGAGGACACTTTAACAAAACTAACTTTATTTATACTGGATAGCCTATCCGTTCTGAACTGTTCTTACTAGAGTTCATCCCTTATTGTTCCAGTATTACTACAGGAGGAAACCTAACCCAATCTAATTTTATGTATACTGGATAGCTCTATCAGTTCTGAATTGTTCTCCCTAGAGGTCCAGTAAAGATCATGCCTTATTGCTGAAGTGTTACTACAGGAGGAAACCTAAACTAAAGTTACTTTATTTAGACGGGATAACTCTAGCAGTTCTGAACTCTCCTCCCTAAAGGTTCAGTTTCCAATGTTACTTACAGGAGGAAACCTGAGGCTGGAACTTTATTTAATATTCATACTGAATAGCTCTACCAATTCTAAACTCTTCTCCCTAGAGATCCAGTAAGAGCTATCTCTTATTGATCCAGTGTTACTATACTTATAATACATAACAAACATACCCATGTTCTCCACGATAAAGCTCGCATTACCTTAGCAATGAGTTGCATATTGAAAGGCCCGCTAACCATCAAAGCCTTGCCAATAGCATAACAAATATTTCGTATTTTCTCCATGGTTTGTTTATTAATATCCTGAGCTGGGAGGACCATCGTGGCATCTCCAGAGTGGACTCCGGCGTTCTCAACATGTTCAGAAATAGCAACAGCGAGTACTTCACCATCGCAAGCCACTGCATCCACATCAATTTCCTAAAAGAACAATACAAAGTCAAGCCCCGGTCAAACGAGGATAAGAGCAGGGCTTTCAAAATGAGCCGGCGGGTGACACGAGGTTTTACCGCCAGTTACTTCGTTCAATTCGTACTTGAAATATCAATTCTGCTCTCCTTCCTCCACTCTAAGCTTTCAAACAAAGTTATTTTTCCTCAACCTAGTCTACTTTACAGCCTGGTTATTTTCGAAAACGACGTACTATTTCGTAAAGCTGATTTGGTTGTTTACCATCATAAATCTTGAAATTATCTTGTCTTGTTGAAGAATGAAAGTAGTAATACATTATAATTTGGTACAGAGCTCAGTTGTGTTGCTATATAATCAATATACACTACTTAATTGGACGATTTTAAGACTCCCTAGACCGCTCCCCACAGCCTACTTTATCAACACAGCCACTTACAGTATTCAAAATAATCCCGAAAAGCCTGGAGAGTTGACGAGAGTCGAGAAGCGACAGTTTGTATGAGAGTTGATGCGATGCTCAAACGAGAACAAGAGTTGCGTGACAGTTGACTGGATAGCACCGGTCACACCAAAACTTTCATTAACTCTCATCAAAATTTAAGCCAAGCTCAACCTCAAAATTGATGAGAGTTGATGAAAGTGCATAACCGTCGATGAAAGTTGAGCGTTTGAACTCTCATAAACTCTCGTCACCTCTTTGTTGGGACCAGGGTTTCAGATCCACAGTGTCACTAGAAGTCCCGGTGAGACGTCATTTTGGGACAATTATACGGAAAGTCTCCCAGGTCTTTTTTCTCCCAAGCGTACCTTGGCTTCCATGATAAACTTTGATATAACTACAGGATGTTCACGGGAGACAGAAGCGGTCTTGGCCATATATTCCGTGAGGTCATCATCAGAGAAAGAGACGTACATTGCAGCGCCACTAAGAACGTAGGATGGTCGCACTAGACAGGGATAACCAACTTTGCTGCAGAATTCTTTGGCTGCCTGAAAAAAATAGAAAAAGTCTATTATAGGTGGTGGTGGTTAAAATTAAAATGTATTCGCATGCACTAATAGGAGCGAGTAATGTGTTCCATTACTTGTTTGCCACGAAATACCAAGTCAACCCCATATTGAAACCGGTAAAGTGGTAAATTTGCCCCTCGCGATTTCCACGCGCGGGATTGATTTTATGCAACCACGTTATGAACTTTTTGAACTTCAATGGAGCTTTATGATCGAGAAAATAATCTTTGGAGTTTTTTAAAAGTATTTTTGTTTTACTATAGACCCTTTTCATAAATGGCTGCCGATTAAAAATTCTTTTATGTGCATATAAATTGGCCCAACTAGCCTCGTTTCTGGGTTGGGCCAATTATATGCACATAAAAGAATTTTTAATCGGTAGCCATTTATGAAAAGGGTCTATATATTTCAAATTGTGAGGATAGAGTCAACAACATTCTTAAACGGGCCACGATTATTCACTTCGATTTATTTGTTTGGCTATTTATACTGTTATACCATTATGATAAAATATTTACCTGCGGTAATGTCTGAAGACAAGCACAATACGGGGCAAGATTTATACTGAATAATTTTTCTTTGTCATAAAGTGCAGTTCTAAAACATGCGTTCACACTAATCAAAATGTTATTTAAGCAAACTTTGGTATCTTCCCCTGTCAAACATCGCATGCAGATTCCCTTCGATCACGAGGTGCCCAAAAAGTTCATTACGTAAATTCTCCTGCATTTGTGTAAAAAAAAAACTATAGACCACATGCTCTTGTATGCATTCTTTCCTTTTTAAATACAATCCAAGGTTCCCCTTATACTGAAAGACATAAAATTACAAAACTTTCTGTTGCTCACATTCCAAACTTACTTCTAACGTTGTCAATTCTTTCCACTTTGGTTGTAATATTTTGACACTATCCAACAGTCTGGAAAACTTGAATCTGTTTTCTGCATTGTCGATCATTTCTGGCGAAGTACCCAAAACTCGAACCTGTAGAATAACAAATAGAGGTCCAGTAAGAATCTTCCATTACTGTCCAAAATTACTGCAGGAGGTAACCTAAACTAACTTCATTTATACTGGATAGCTCCATCAGTTTTATACTTTTCTTGTATACTCCCTAGGTGGCCACCTTTATTGATCCAGGAAATCTAAACTAACTAAACTAATTTTATATCTACTGGTAACAACAAACCTGACTACGATGTAAAGCCATTGCAATGTTGTTTGGTAACTGTCCACCCATGGACAGAATGACACCTTCAGGATTCTCCATTTCGTATATATCCATTACAGTCTGTTTGGAAAATGGTGTAAATTTATATTTATCTGAAAGCCACATGCACATTGTAATCCACGCTTCCGGAAAGTACGTCACCTTGGCTATAGAGCCTCGTGATTGAGACGTTAGGCTTTAACTAATGTCACATACACAATAACGAGGCTTTATCTAAAAAGAGGAAATATGCAGGGCGGCTGAGGGCGCATAAAAACCAGGTATTTCAATTTTCAGAAACAAGTAAATTTTCAAGTAATTTTTATTTGCAGAAATGAGAAGAATTTATTTATCATGGGAAATCGTAAAATATAGGGCAAGTTTTATTTGAATGGTTAACGTTTATATAATATTTTGTTTGCTTCAATGAAATCCAACTTCGGTATCTTATCATGCCTTGCAAAGGATCTAAGGTGATGGATCTAAAGATTTACTTTTACTAAAGATCAAGCCTTCAGCTATCAAATAAGACATCATTCAGTTGAAAAATGGTCAAATACGATCCGGTTTGAAGTGGTCAGTGAGTCGAAATAATTTTTTCCGCCATTGGAAATTGAGTTGAAAGTTACTGTCTTAGTATTTCAATTTGGATTCGTATTTAGAACTTCAAGTGTAGATGCCCTAAATACAAACGTATGGGGGTTGTTTATCAAGGCTAGGTGAATTAATAGTTAATTATACTCGCATTTTAATAACGAAATTTCGTGGTTAAAACATTTTACGAAAATGGTAGTTTGCAGAGAACTTGACGAAAGTTTCCTAGATTGGCAATCTCCATTTGCAAAGATGTTGAAAACTCGATGAACACTTTTCAGGCACAGAGTAATTCAAAATCTTGAGCGATGTTTTCCACAAACTAAAACAATTACATCTATTTTCGCCATGCAAACCTACAAAGATTTCGTTCACTCAGAATTAGAGAACTGTCAGTCAAATTTTCCCAAATACTACTTAATTATCATGAAAAGCAACATTTGTTGTGCGACACTTGCCACAGAGAGATTATTGAACGCCAAGATTTGCAAGATATATATAGACTCACCTCGTAAGAAATTTCATCAAAATAAAGTCGATCACACTCATCGTAATCCGTACTGACTGTCTCAGGGTTGTAATTCACCATGATCGTTTGTTTGCCAAGCTGTGGAGAAGAGGAAATATTTACTGTGGTTAATTATTTACTGTGGTTAAAAATATAGATGAAAAAATTACTCAATTCTGATTGGCTAAGAGCAGTGCAATTATTTTTCAAATTACTGCAGTGTAAAGAAAACAAGAGCAAAGCCTGGAATCCCGTATACGCCCGTATTCTTCCGGAAGCCCGTATACGCCCGTATTGTAAAAGCTCACTCAACACTCAATGTGTGGAGGTTCAATCTGAGCTTCTCTTGAGTGTCAATGCTGTTTTTGAATAGCTGGAGGGTTAATGTGACTATACTCACCCTCCAGTATTAAAAAAAACAGTATTGACACTCAAGAAAAGCTCAGATTGAACCTCCACTCATTGAATGTGAGTGTGAGCTTTTAGAATACAGGCGTGACTCAAAAATTTGTCATCAGTTCAGTTCTAAAATTATTGAATTATGGATGACAGACACGTATTAACTTTTTACAGACGTCTTACGAAGTTTTTTTATAGGTTTACTTTCTCATGTGTATGGTCAACAAGTTTTCCCTGACAAGTTATGTCGCTCGTGTGCTCGGAATTTCACGGAATGTTGGTTAATCGATTTATCCCACGGGCTTTTGTTTTCCAGAACCATAGAAGTATTGTTTGTACACTTGTGAAGTTTTCCTTGTGAAGCTTTCCTTTTCCAAAAGCTGCCATGCCTAGCTGCCTTTGGAACAAGGCTAATCGGCAAAGAAAGATTGTCATCTTTTGCCGTATAGACGAGCAAATAAAACTTGTAAAGGAAAACGTGCTTGTCTCCACGGGGCTTAATTAAGTCTCGATACTTACTCTGCGCAGTTCACGTATACAGCCAACAGCACACCAGTCAAACTCAACACTGCTTCCAATACGATATACTCCAGACCCTAACACCATCATAGCCCCTCCAGGAAAATCCAGGTCATTTTGATCACCACTGTATGTCAAGTACAGATAGTTTGTAACGGCTGGATACTCAGCAGCGACAGTATCGATCTGTTTTATACACGGCAAGACATTCATTGATTTCCGAGCATGGCGAACACTGGCTTCAGTGCTGAAAAACGTAAAATGGCATGATTAGGAATGGTAAATTATGGTATGGGGAGGCATTTTTGAGTATGGTATGGTGTGGCATGGTTAGGTACATATATAGTATGTAGTAAGGTAGATAAAATGTGTAGTAAGGTAGTATGGTGTGGTAAAGTATAGCATGGTAAGGTGTGGTAAGGGATGGTAAGCTATGATATTGGCTAAATTATGCTATGATATTGGTATGGTATGGTATAATATACTATAGTATAGTATATGGCATGATATGGTATGGTATGTATGTATGTATGTATGTAAAACTTTATTTCAATACGCTAACTTCGACAATTATTTACAACTGGTTTCCACGAAGGGCGTATACACACAAAGAGCTAAATGTTAATTATATATAGAACAAAATATGTAAGAATCCCACCCTAAAATTTTATCATCTTCCTCCCAAACCTCCACCCCATAAACAAGTACCCACCCACCCTCACGCAAAACTAACCCCCCTCCCGCCCACAATCTATATTGTCCTCCCATCATTTGGTCCTGGAGAAATTAGCTTATCAGCTGCTTAAATGCAATTTCGCCATTGTTTTAAATGACGTAATTGACTCAGCCGCCTTGACATCTTGCGGGAGACTATTCCATAGAATTGCTCCACTGTATCCAAATGTTTTCTTTAGAAATTTCGTTTTCGTTTTTCTTAACGAGAGATCAGTTTCGCTATTGCGTAAATCATAAATATTCTGCGATGCATTTCTCCGAGAAAAAAGATCTTTAAGGTTTGGCGCAGTGTGGTTCCCCAAGACTTTATACATCAATACTAGCTTGTTTTGTTCTCGTCTCCTAGCCAGGGTTTCCCAGCCTAATTTGTTTAGGACTTCAGACGATCTTACATCGTAGTCAGCTCCGGTAATCACCCTTGCTGCTCGATTTTGGAATTTTTGCAATTTGTCTTGAAGTCCCAAACCACAGTTATCCCACAGGGGAGAACAGTAATCAAAATGAGGCTGAGAGGTATCGCATGAGAGGTATGGTATGGTGTGGTAAGATAAGGTATGGTACGGTGAGGTATAGTATGGTATAGTTAAGGTATAGTATGGTGTGGCATGGTATCATGTACGGTATCAGATATGATATGGTATCAGGTATGGTATGGTGTGGTACGGTAGTGGTATGGCATCAGGTGTGGTATGGTATGGTACAGACAGTTTGTAACAGCTGGATATCTGTTTTACACACGCCATGATATTCATTGATTTTCGTGCACGTCCGACACTCGCCTCAGTGTTGTAATGTAAAAAGAATTTATACAGTAAATGTTTTAAATGTTCTTGTTTTTTTTGTCCAGTTTTTCGTGTCCTTGATAAGACATGTTAATGATGTTATTATAAAAGGAAAAAAATAGCCTGTACACTATACAGTTTGGGTTGGAATGTGATTTAATAGTTTCTTTAACTACTCAGTTTTGGAGTGCTTGGTATGGTATGGTATGGTATGGTATGGTATGGTATGGTATGTATGTATTGACAAAGTGCCGGGTGGTAAGGTATGGGATACTGCATGTGATATGGTATGGGATGCTGTGATATGGTATGGTCAGGAGTGGTATGGTATGGTGTGACATATAGTATATCAAGGTGTATGATATGGTGTATGGTATAGTATGCTATGATATGGTTTTATGGAACACGATATATATACGATTCTCTTACCAACCTTTGAATAACTTTAGCAATTTGCTTGTCAGAAAAGCCAAGTTTCTTAGCTTCAAGAAGTTGTGGTCGCGACAAATCATGAACCTACAACGAACAAATATCAATACATTCAAAATTATTTCTAAAGTAAACCAATTTCACTTTGGTCCAGCGTCTCTATATATATAGTAGGAAACTTAAACTAAACTTTGATAGCTTTATCAGTTCTAAACTGTACATCATAGCGATTCAGTCTTTACAAAACAAAAAAGCTTACATTGTACAAGTAAATTGTCTACAAAACGATTCGCAAACACTAATCACTTTCTTAAAGCAAGCCAATTTAGAAAACATCCTCAGTTTAGGTTGAAATTTATCTGAGTAAAGTTAAGATTAATTTTGGGCTGGTTGTTTATCTTTCATCAAACACAAACCTTCACATGACTTTCTTTCAAGCTTTTCTTTAAATTGATGATATTTTTCATACGATGCAAGAACCAGTGATCAATCTTGGTCATTTCGTAAAGTTTGTCAACACTATAACCTTCTTCCAACGCCGCGGCTAGAACGTGTATACGCTTGTCTGATGGCTGCTTTAGTTCCTAGATAACAATATACACAATGTTTCAATGAGGAGCTTCAGTGGCGAAATCGTGAGGGCAGGCGCCACCAAAGAGATTGTGGATTAGATTCCCTGCACTCTTATGTATCTTTTCACACAATTATCATGAGTCCTCATGATAATTGTGTGAAAAGATACATAAGAGTGCAGGGAACGCTCGAGCCAATCACAAAAGGCCAATCAACTAACCCACCCTCCCTTGGGAGAAATATGTTAATCTCTCTACATTGGGAATTCTATGCAATGACACTATGGGTATGTACGAGTGCTGTAACGAGTCACCAACAGGTCGAGTCACGAGTTGAGTCATTTCGCTCTCTGGTCGAGTCGAGTCAATGGCTACGCGAATTGTACGGTGAACAAAAAGGTAAACAAAAATGCCAGTCTACAAGTGGAAACATGCCTATATCTGCATCGAGAATTACTTTTTATTTCTTGAAGCCCTTAGAGGACTCTTCCCAATCTATTCAACTACAATATTTTTGATGAATTTGTCCTGAACAAGTTGTAGCTGAGTTGACTCGAGTCATTTACGACAGAAAACAACAAGTCGAGTCCGAGTCGAGTCATTTGGGAGCATTTGTTGACTCGAGTAGTCGAGTCGAATCATTTTTCGCATTCGACTCGAGTCCGAGTCAATGACTGGACTCATTACAACATTGTTATGTACAGACATCCCTTGCAGCATGCACAGCCGAGTTCAGTCCTAACTCACATCTTCAGTGACTTCACATCCATTTACATCAAAACCAATATTATGTTCATCCACCATTCTCAATGCTTTCTGTAAAGCTTCTTCAAACTTGCGACCAATAGCCATAACCTCACCAACACTTTTCATCGATGAACCAATCTATGAGAAATATTACAAGATTAATCAGTAGAAAAAGTGCTCAGGGATAAAAAACATAATACATTACTGGCATGTTCACTTGGTCACAGGGATTAAAATGGCCGGGCGGCAAGGTCGCCAATTGCGACCAAATTTTGCAGCTGCATGGCGAAAGGTTGTAGCCCTCGTGGGCCGTGGCGACTGAGTAAAAATATTAAAATGATAAAGTTATGCCAAATATATCTCCATATCTGAAGTGTTTCATTCTGCTTTTGCACATGCGATAATTTGCTAATATACCAAAACAAACTGTTTTTATGTTACTATTCACTACCTCTGGATAGGAACTATTCATGTGTTGTTTTCGAACTTAGAAAAGGCAACTGAAAATAGCCGCAGATATATGTTCTCTCAAGTGAAAGTGGAAATAAATTAAATCGCGACTTACAATATTGTTTAATAATTCGCAATTGAATGCATAGATTAACGCCGTAAACCTCCGGAATATATAACGCTGAGGCCATTCCAAATATAAGTCCCCCCCTCCCACCGCCGTATATAAGCCCCCCCCCATTTCGTGTTTTGACTTCGATTCACAAAATATTACGGTTTCATGAACTGATATTAACTTGATTCGCGATACGACCCGTTAGAAAAAACCCTGAAATTTGTTGGGAAAAATGGTATGAAAACTGTTTATGACCTTCACAAATTTTCGACGTCAATTTCCGCCATCTTAGCTTGACTTAAGTTCTTACTCCAGATACATATAGAGCGCACTGGGCTTAACTTACTGCTGAGGGACAACCCTTAATAAGTGGATTTTACATAATTTTGAAACAAAACTACGATGTTCGCGAAATCACTTCCTCACCTTTGTGCTAACTCGGTTGAATTTCTTCAAGTCCCATCTGGGTACTTTGACAACGACGTAATCCAGGCTGGGTTCAAAACACGCGGTGGTGGAGTTGGTCACAGAGTTCTTGAGGTCAGGTAGACGGATTCCCAGGGATAACTTGGCAGCCACGTACGCCAGGGGATATCCGGTGGCTTTTGAAGCCAAGGCTGAGCTTCGTGATAGACGAGCGTTCACTTCGATGATGTAATACTAAAGAAAATAGAAAATTAAAAATTAATCTTATAACTGATAGAGCTATTCACAGTACAAACAAAGTCAGTTTAGTTTCGGTTTCCTGCCGTAATAAACACCGAAACAATAAGGGATTGCTCTTTCTGAATCTCTATAGAGAACAGTTTAGAACTGATAGAATATGTCCAGTATAAATAAAGTTACGTTAGTTTAGTTTTCCTCCTGTAGTAGCACCGCAGCAATAAGGAATGACCCTTAAGGAGAACAGTTTAGAACTGATAGAACTATCCAGTATAAATAAAATTAGTTTAGTTTAAGTTCCCACGGCAGTAATACTGGACCATAAGAATAACCCTTTGTAGAAACAATTCAGAACTGATAGTGCTGTCTAGTGCACGAAATGAGACTAACCTCGCTCGACAAAGGATTCAATGCGTACTGAATGTTACACTCTCCGACAATGCCGAGATGTCGAATCAACTTGATCGCTGTCGTACGCAGCATGTTATATTCAGCATTACTCAATGTTTGACTCGGAGCTACGACAATTGATTCGCCTGTATGGATGCCAAGCGGGTCAACATTCTCCATGTTACACACCTAGCAAAACAACAAAAATAACCATGATTCTAATAATACGAATTGATTTACAATCATCATCATGCAAGAATACAGGCTCTACAATAAGCTGCTGTTGGCGTCTGGACCACGTGAAAACAATTCCTCCTCTTGACGAACGGCCTACGGACACCTCTCTAATACGGACATCTTTCTAATACGGACACCTCTATAATACGAACATCTCTCTAATTCTAATATGAACACGTCGCTAATATGGACACTCCTCTAATATGGACACCTCTCTAATACAGACATCTCTCTAATACAGACATCTCTCTAATATGGACACCTCTCTAATATGGACGCCTCTCTAACACAGATATCTCTCTAATATGGACATCTCTCTAATATGGACACCTCTAATATGGACGCCTCTCTAACACAGATATCTCTCTAATATGGACATGTCTCTAATACAGACATCTCTCTAATATGGACAACTCTCTAATACAGACACCTCTCTAATATGGACACCTCTTTAATACGGACGCCTCTCTAATATGGACACCTCTCTAATATGGACATCTATAATACGGATATCTCTCTAATACGGAACTTTGCTGGGTCCATTCAGTGCCCTGGTTAGACAGGTCTGATTGTGCCCAGATTGTGATTGTACGCAGCTTCTGTACTGACTCACTGTGTCCGTATTAAATCTGCGTTATAGGCGAATACCTAAACGGTCACTTGTGAAATTCCCGGAGCACGTACCGTCACACAGTTGTCGTATGCATCGCGAACGACTTCGTACTCGATTTCCTTCCATCCTTTCAATGATTTATCAACCAGGACTTGTTTCGTGTGCGCAAACGCAATCTTTGCTAGCCTAACTAGCTCTTCTTCGTCTTCAGCGAAACCAGACCCCAGTCCACCGAGAGCAAACGCGGCGCGCACCATTACTGGGTAACCAAGCCTCGAGGCTGCACCAACAACCTAAAAAGCAACAGGTGGGTTAAATTTTAACCCAGGATTAACGTCCATCGTGCTTTGAATAATCGGCCCCAGGGACCTTATAAGGGGGCAGAATTTCCTTTCTTGTGCCTAGTGGCAAAGCTAGCCATGGAAACTGGTCATGCTGCGCTAATAAACCTTTCTAAATGAGCATTATACTCGATCAACAATAGCAGGATTAGCTCAGCGATCAGACGCAGTGCGTCAATTCGATCTGGCTAACATTGTCGAATGCAGTGTGCTAATAACATCTGCTGAATTGTTTTTGCTGATGGAAGTTTCAAGTGTAAATTTTATACATTGATTAGATCTAACCAGGAACAGTTGCAAAAAATGCAACTATAGACCCTCTGACAGGAATCAAACCTGCGACCCTGCAATTCACCCTTCCGGAAAGTACGTCACTTTGGCTATAGAGCCTCGTTTTCGTGTACGTGACATTAGTTAAAGTGTATGTATGTATAAATCTTTATTAATAAATCTTTATTAAAATATTAAAAGCAACACCTCACAACAAACGTGCCGGCTTACAATTTGCACTTACTTATCAATAATTATTATACTAATTACTGTATTAGTATTGATATTATTCATCAATAGAGCTAAAATACCATTATTATAAAGTTTAATGTAGTTCCTAAGAAGTTAATTTCTAATTTAAAAAATATCATATGAAGTTAAAAAGACATCTATTAACGAACACTCTTTTAAACCTTTCTGTTCGAACTCTCGGTAGTTCATACTCGTGTCCGCGATTGCGTAATTCTAATTGAGGACTAGGAGGCAGCAAAACTTGCAGGGCATGGATGGGATCCGTAGTTATTTTCTCCCATAAATCTCTGTCTTTATTGTTTAATATATCAACAATCGATACCTGATACATAAGATATCCATACTTATATGCACGTTTTAAAAGTTTATCTACTTGACTAAGATACTTAGAATACGACGCACATCCCCAGACCTCTACACCAAAAACTAATATTGATAAAATAAGACTAAAGTGCAACGTCTCAACCACGAAAACGAGGCTCTATGGCCAAGATGACGTACTTTCCGGAAGCGTGTATTCTGGTGCAGCGCTCTACGCCAATATTACGGTCTGGTACTGCTTTGTTTTCAGCCACGCACGCGGAACTCTTGCTATCCGCATACTTACTTTTTGCTGGTACCAAACATGATTGGACCGTTGATAAGAAACGCCGGAGTCGATTGTTTGTATATACAATTGCGCTTCTTTTTCTACCTCGTAGTTAGAACATACTTTTCAGAAACCTGTACTTTACGAACCTTATTTTAACCTCACATTGAGTACTGAGTTTGTACCAGCTCAAGTATGCGGCAACAACCATTGGCGTACCAGTCAGGTACGACCAAAAATCTTGAACTATCGCAGCCTGGTTATGTCTAATAATTTATAAAATTTACACTCAGATTATCCACCTACAAAAGTCTTCAACTACTAGTGCTACTGAGTGTGACGCCCAATATCCTGATAATAACATCTTCCACCCTTCTATTCGTACCTGCTCCATTGAATATGCTGCTTCGCTCGGAGCACATTTTTCACCGATTTCACTGAGTTTCTGAGAAAATAACTGTCGGTCTTCAGTGTTGATTATGGATTGCACTGGCGTTCCAAGAATCTTGAGTTGATATTTCGCCAGTACGCCTTCTTCTTGTAATTTCACTCCACAATTTAATGCAGTTTGGCCTCCAAATGATAGCAAGATTCCGTTGGGTCGTTCACTTTCAACAACCTAGTTCAAAATAGCTAGTTTAATGCAGGCAATCTGGTACTATATAGGCTGGCAATCTGGTACTATATAACTTGGGGTTATAACTCGACAACGGGACTCTGCAATAAGCATAAGGAAAACAAACTTTTCCTTTCCTTTCCTTGTGCTTATGCTTATCTCACCCTTCATGCTTATCTCACACTATTTGGTACTTGTTTCCTACGTGTGAACGATCTTGTCCTTATTTCATCGTGTGAATCAGGCTTAAAGACCGCTGACACAGGAGGTGTAAGGGGCGGACCATTAGAAATCCCGGGGTATAAAATTTTTGCGGCACGATTTTTTTTTCAGTCTCATGTCTCTGCAGGATTTTTTTTTATGCATTTAACCTCTGCAAGAATTTTTTTTCAAGACTATTTGCACTTCGCTGTTTGCTTGCACGAATATTTTTCTCTGACGTAATGGCTGCGCGAATTTTTTCCCATGCATTTCTCTTTGCACGAATTTTTTTGGGGAATTTTCACCCCCCCCCCTCGGGATTTCTAATAGTCCGCCCCTAAGGCCGCACGCTCAATTCCTGCCAGAGGACCTATTGTTGCATTTTCACAGCTGCTCCTAGTTAGATCTAAAATTGTAGATAACCTTCCGAAATTAAGATATTCAAAACCCCTTCAAACTCGATATGTACTGTGTATTTCACTGTCTTGGTGTTCACGTGGTTATTTCCTCGTGTTTCGTGCACAAAGATATCTTATATACACTAGATAGCGCATCTCTTTTAGTAAAATTGAAGTCAAGAATATTCCAGCGGTTACCCCCATTTGAATAGATGGCGGCCATGTTGGTCGGTTCCCACTCGCTAATAAACGCTTAAACTAAACAACAATGTTGAATACCTTGAAATGCTTGAATAGTTTGAAAATGTATTTGGAATAGGTTTAACTTAATGTTTAAGTTCCCTGTTTAAGAAATAGAAAACATACGAGTCTTCTCATTTCATGGGGATATCCTGAGTCTGCAATCACGGCTTCAATTTTTGAATTGCAGAATAATATAAGATATCTATGGTTAGGAATAGGTTTGTGTATATAAGATATCTATGGTATAGGAATAGGTTTGTGATTGGGCTCAAGATCAAAGAGAAACATATTCGTGCACGACACGTGAGAATACAACCTTCATATTCGTCCATATCATCCCAAAACAGGCGTGCATGGAAACGAGGCCATTGTGGCAAATTAGAGCTCGACAACTGGCCTCTGTATCTCAGTTGGCTAGAGCGCTGCAACGGTGAAGAAATGAAGAAAATTCAAAAGAAATGAATGTTTAATCAATTTTTGTAAATCGGATAAAGATTTGTCCTGATTTACATAAACTTCAGCTTTGATTTTCTCGGCTTAAGGCGGATTTCCAGTCCTCGCACGAAGCTCCTTGCAGCTCGCAGCGAGTGCATGCATCTAATTAAAATTAACGGTTTAGCATTGTGATTGGATGAAAGTGCTCATGCATCACTCGCAGCGAGGAGCTTCGTGCGAGGACTGGAAATCCGCCTTAAGTCAATGTTTATTTTTAAAATTACTTCGTCAATGAACTCATCTATAAGATGGGTCGTTTTGTAAGTATACGTTAAAACATCTCGCCTTCGGCTCGAGTTTGTATAACAGATAAAGATCAGCTGCTCATGTTTTAACTAGTACATGATAAATTTCCGCTCGATAATTTCCTTATTTCCATCTACAGTACCCTTCAACTAATATTCAATCGATTTTGATATTTACAATAAGCAGTAAAGCCTATTTTGAGTTTGAGCTAACTTAATTTATACTAGATAGCCGTCTTTCAGGTCTAAGCTATTAGAGACCTTACGATGTTAGGACGGCAACGCGACGGCCAAAACAAACTCCTTCAAATAAATGGTAGTAAAGATAGTTCGTCGTATATTATCAATCGTATGAATTTAATACAGTCTTAGAAGTTGAAGATATGGGTTTTATGGTTGGGAAGAGTTATGCTAAACCCAGTTTGAAGTTGCACTTGTTGCGGCTTGGAATGCAGCCGTTCGGTATCAAGACGTGAAAGTCTGTGATTTGGCCCGTTGCCGTCCTAAAATCGTAAGGTCTCTATTATTCCTAATTTCCTAGATGTGAATTTGTGAAATCCGGCAGTAAGAGCCATGCATATCTTATTCAGTATTGTTATTAATAGTGTTGTTACAGGACAAAATCGAAACTAAACTGACTTTATTTACACTGGATAACTCTTATAAATTCTAAACCGTTCTCGCGCGCGGTAGAGGTAATTCAATTATTTCAATATATAGCCTAGCACCGGTTCCCCCGCAGGAGAAATCCTAAACTAAATTAACTGTGCTTGCACAGGACAACTCAATGAGTTCTAAACTGTTTCTCCTTGCGGTATAGTAAAAGCCACGCGCAGTTTGTCAAAAACTCGTTATAAAGGCCCTGTCACACTATTGCGTATGAGAGAAACGTATGAGAAGCGTATGGAAATTAATGAAATAATTTAATTTTTCACACGCACAAAAATCCTTTGAAATGCCAGCGTATGAGTACCGTACATCTGGCGTACCTCTAGCGTATTCAGCGTGTACCTAGAGTATGCTTATCGTATAAACCATACGTCCGATACGCACAAAATTTTTGAACATGCTTAAAAAAATGTTCTGCCTCGCCGTATTGGGCTACCGTGCTTGAAACGTATACAACCTATCCCTAACGTACCCCTAGCGTATGTCAGCGTATACGGGCGTATGAGTGATATTTTTCATACGCTGGCATACGCTAGTACGATACGCAATAGTGTGACAGGGCCTTTTAATAGACCACTGTCTTATATCCTAAATTCCCGATTAGCCTATACTTATTAAAACTGTCTGTCTAGTATCTGTCTGCAATGTGTGTGTGTCTGTGAGACCAATGGACATTGCCAGTGACAAAACTAAAGGAATGGACTTTGCCAAAGGACAAATTTACTAAATTTTGGTTAAATTTGGAATTGGATGAGAAATTAGCATCGTTTTGCTTTGCCGGGCAGAGTAAATTAAATGCGTATTTAGCCCATTGTATAATTTATGCGTGATACTCTATAAACTCAGATAAAGCACTTATTGGACCACAATATAGGACCACAATATAGGAACACATTCATATTAGTGAACGTGTTCGAGTTACGCAAAGGAAATTTGTGGTATGACACAAAACTGTTTATTGTCTCAAACGAAAGAGCTCGTAAAACTCTAGCGTAGTTTTATAGATTTTTATTTGTAAGTTTTGTCGTTGCAATACAGCCTAATATTATGATACAAGTCATGCAAGTGAATGTTTCGTTATTCGCAAAGATACGAAGCTCATTGACATTGTATGTAAATGACGTCAATATGACGTCAGTTGTGTTTGTCATATCCAGCTCATTTCAATAGCAAATGGAAATCGTATCGACATGTCATTGCCAGAACTTTGCAATAATCATTCCAAATTCTTTATACAAACACCATAAAGCTAATATTCATAAAACAAACACACAACAAAATCCTATACTGTATAGACTTTTGTATTAAAAGACAACGCGGATTAATCGGGCCGATTTCAGGTTTTGCCGAATATTAATGACGAGTGTTGTCAGTTGACGATGTCGTCAGATGACGTTGACAGCGTATTTTTCAAATATCACTTAATTAATTAAACCTGGGGCCGGTTGTATCAAGCCCATTTTATAGCTTAAACGGTGGATAAGTCAAAATTAAATAACACTCTTATATTTTTCGTGAATCAGTCAACTTAAATATTCTGCACTGAATATAGCTTTCTATTTTGAGCTTAACCACCGTTTAAGCTAAACGGGCTTGATACAACCGGCCCCTGAAATGCTGAATCGGCCGGATTAATCGTTGCGTGTAAACGTGCCTTAAATATTCTAAATTTCGGATGTACATAAAGAGGCTTGCATACATCTACACGTAGTGATGTTGACTTGGATTCCGGTATATACCACAAGGAAACACATTTACAAATTAAAATGGCAATTTTAATATCGAGTCAATATAATATATTCACCCTTGAACAAGCTTTCGTTGGCAGGAATGCTTGTTCACATCTTGACGACAAACTGCATGCAAATATTAAATGCTTGTCATAACAAATTTATCCCAAATATGTTTTATTTGCATGGCTTTGTGTTTGGTAAGTTTCATCTTTTAATTTTCATCATTTCTTTATAAAAATACTCTCCAACCTGCAACGTTGCGTAGTCAATTTCGGTGCTATGTTCTTGAATCTTGATTCTGTTTTACAACACACGACTATGATTTTTACGCTGTGGCCAAGGACAAGGTCGCTACGGTGAAAAGTATGTTCTGGGGATATGTAAATTTTGTCTGCATCAGTCAAAGCAATGCAAAAACAAGCTTTCAACCGTATTCCGTACCCGTTGTTCGTTGTCTGTTGACACTACCTACACTGCACAGACAGTTGATTTGTATCGAGACCTTAACGGCTTAAGATAACTGCAAACAGCAAACTTCAAATTGTATTTTCGGGTCAACTGTTACCTGTTCTAAGTTAGGGCAATTTGTGCATTAAAATTGAAGCATTAATACTTAGCTACAATGTCAAATATCATGTTATAATACATTGCCATTTAAAATGTGAATAAAAAATTTCCTTGTCAGACTTGTGTTAATTAATAATGCAGCACAAGTGATGACGTCATGGTACGTTGGGTCGACATGTCCGTGACGTAACCTCGTAAGCGGCGTAGCGTGTGGGGGTAAAGAGTCTGGCTTGCAAGTTTGCCCGTGACGTTCTAATGTGCGGTTACGTATTCTCATTACAAAGATCCAATCACGTATCACAAATGATGTTTTCTATATAAGTATAATGTTTACGAGACAGAACACATTTTAGCAATTTTACAACACAGTACATCGATAATTTTTGAAAATGGCCTCTGCTCAATCAAATGTGAACTGGCAGTCGACAAAGAACACTTTCTTGGATAGAAACCGTCATATGTTCAACAATTCAGACATGAGTGATATCAGTTTTACTTGCGAAGGTTCAGACGAGACATTCTATGCACATAAATATGTCTTGGCCACAAGTAGCGCCGTATTTCATGCAATGTTTTATAGCGGTTTAGCTGTGAAAGATTCGATTATTCGTTTGTCTGATACGAACGAGGAAAGCCTGGAACAGTTTTTGAGATTCCTTTACACGGAGGAATGTACATTGACCGCAGACAATGTTGTTGCGATTATGTATTTAGCAAAGAAATACATTCTGCCTAATTCGCTCGGTGAGAAATGTGTTAATTTCCTACTTGAAAATTTAAACCCAGAAAATATGGTAGACATTTTGGAGCAGGCAACTCGTTTTGAAGAGAAAGAATTAGAAAAAAATTGTTTGAAACTTATACAGTCTAGTACAGGCGAAGTGGTAGCCTCTGATAGTTTCAATGACATCAGTCAAACGACCTTGGCTAAATTACTGAATCAAGACAAACTGAAGATACCAGAAGTGGAACTGTTTCAAGCTGTTTTAAAATGGATTGATTGCCAATGCGCGTGCAAGAACTTGGAACCAACAAGCGAGAACCGAAGGTCCATCATTGGCGCGGCGATCTATGATTTTCGATTTTTCAGCATGAGCCCGACAGAGTTTGATGCACATGTTTCTAAATCTGGTTTGTTGACTTCAGATGAGTTGGTTGCAATTTATGAGAGATTTACAGGAATTGATTCGCCCGCGTTGAAATGGACGCTACCGAATAGGAGATCCGGAAAGATCGTCAGGTTTTCCAGATTTCCTGGAAATGCAAAGGAACTTAGAAAATGGTACAATCTGAATCCACCAGATCGCCTTTCTTTCTCGGTTAATAAAGAGGTGTCCTTGCTTGGTGTTCGCTTGCTTGGAGATGAAGACGGGAGTGAGTACCAGGTCAGTTTTGATGTCAAAGAAAGCAAAGTGACTGGAACGTATCTCTCTGAGCGCGATCAAGATGACGTTCCTGGTTTTGATGTAATGTTGATAGAACCCGTTCCACTGAAGCAGAACGAACTTGCAACTCTTTCTGCGATAGTAAAAGGGCCTCAATCGTGTCATGGTGAAAATGGATTATCTTCAGTTACACTAGAGGGGGTCTCCGTGACATTTACTGACGCTCCGTACCCCAACAACGGAAACTGTGTACATAGCGGACAATTTCATGAAATAATACTTGAGATTTAACTTTGACGGTTGTCATCATTGACAATGTTAATTATGCTGCATGCTGTGGACTGACAGCATTATTATTATAACGATATTATTATAATTCATTTATAAAAGAATCACATTTACTAATTGTGTCGATTATGTGGGCAAAATGGCGTAATACGCATACACGACTGTCTGAACACCTAAATATTTCACCTTTGACAGGTAACGAAAGCATACCTACAAGACAGCCTTCGATTTCCGCTATCTTGGCTTCAAAAACAGTGTTAAATTAAAAGTCCGATCGCCCTGAAGTGTGGTTTGATAAATGGAAACAAAAATATTAAATATTATGTTATCAATATAGACTGACAAAAGCTCCTAAAAATGCATTTAGAAGTATGACGAATCTGCAATTGTAGCGATGAGTCCATTGGATTAGATTGGATTGGATTAGATTAGCCAGACAGATATTTTTTCACTAGCCAGTCTACTTGTCAAGCAAAGCCGCGATTTTTATTGGCTGGTTAACGGAAGATTATATACAATTTTCAGACCTAACCAGGAGCAGTTGCGAAAAATGCAACTACAGCCGTCCTCTGCCAGGAATCGAGCCTGCGGTTTGCGATTCAATTGTATATATAAATCTTCCAATCAAATTTCCATAACAAAAAACCCTTTTACTGTTAGCTCTATCGAGCCTAGACTTGCGACAAGTCGACCATGGGGGAGGGAGGGCGCGGGAGAGGGAGGGCGCGGGAGAGGGAGGGCACGGGAAAGGGAGGGCGCGGGGGAGGGAGGGCGCGGGGGAGGGAGCGCGCGACCCGAGCGAAGTGAAGCGCGCCATAGAAGGGCCTAGAAAGGACTTTGGGTGCGTCCTCCCTAGGCCCTGGGACACACGGAACCGGAAGTGCAAGAAAACTTGCAGTAGTTTCTAAAGCGCATGCTCTTGATTTGGGACATTTTAGCACCCGTAAGAATTTTCACAGTGAAGTATTAAGAAGAAACGAAGTATTTGTGTTGACATATGTTGATAGAACAATTTTGCCCAGCGAAAACTGCTCAACTTCTGCGAAATAGCAGTTCTCTGCGAAGCCAATCAGATCTCGTCCTTTAGTCGTCTATCCCAGAGCCTAGTTTTCAACGAGTGACCGAGTGAAAATGGCTCTGGGGACGAGAATGATATCGAGCCTGATGCCCAAATTCTTGAAATTTAACCAAATATAATAAGTTATAATTTCATATTTTCGTACAAAGACATCAACTTACAATTACATCGCCCCCGCGAGAAAAAATCACACGCTTCAGATACACCGAGCTATTTCTAGCCTGCGTGCCCTCAATTTTATGGGGGGGGGCCTGATTTGCAGCGGGCAGGATTTTGCCCGCCAAAATCCTGCCCGCTGCAAATCAGCCCCCCCCCCCCCATAAAATTGAGGGCCTGCCACGCAGGCTAAGCTATTTCCGACACACTCAGCTATTTCAGACACGTGCGAAACTGTGGTCATATCAAATTTCGCTTCGCGTTTAATTATTCTAATTCCGCCATTGTCTTGCATGGCACAATTTCAGTTCTGCATTGAAGTATTTAAAAATCCTTTTTTGTCGACAGTATACTACAGCTATAATTCTTCAAAATGGCCTCAGTTCAATCGAATGTGGACTGGCAGTCGACAAAGAACACCATCTTAGAAAGAAACCGACATATGTTCAACAATCCAGACATGAGTGATATCAGCTTTACTTGCGAAGGTTCAGACAATACATTCTATGCACATAAATATGTCTTGGCCACAAGTAGCGCCGTATTTCATGCCATGTTTTATGGCGGCTTAGCTGTGAAAGATTCGATTGTTCATTTGTCTGATACAAACGAGGAAAGTTTAGAGCAGTTTTTGAGATTTCTTTACACGGAGGAATGTACATTGACAGGAGACAATGTTGTTGCTATTATGTATTTGGCAAAGAAATACATCTTGCCTTCGCTCGGTGAGAAATGCACTAATTTCCTGTCCGAAAATTTAAACGTTGAAAATGCACTGGACGTTTTACAGCAAGCGACTGGTTTTGAAGAAAAAGAATTAGAGAAAGAATGTTGGAAATTTATAGAGTCTCACACACGCAAAGTGGTAGCCTCTGATAGTTTCAATAACATCAGTCAAACGACCTTGGCGAAATTACTGATGCGAGACAATCTGTTTATCCCAGAAGTAGAACTGTTTCAGGCTGTTTTAAAATGGATTGATTTCCAATGCTCGTATAAGAATTTAGAAGCAACAGCAGAGAACCGAAGGTCAATCATTGGCAAGGCGATCTATGGGTTCCGATTTTTTACCATGAGCCATAAACAGTTTGCCGAACATGTTTCGAAATCTGGTCTGCTAACTGCGGAAGAGATAATTCCCATTTACGAGAAATTCCTTGGAATAGATTCGCCTGCGTTAAAATGGAAGCTACCCAACAGGAACGTAGGAAATATCGTCCGGTTTTCCAGATTTCCTGAAATAATAGACAAACTTAACAGATCGCCGTGGGAATATGACAACACGCCAGATCGCCTCTGTTTTTCTGCGAAAAAAGATATGAACTTGCTTGGTGTACGTTTGTTTGGGCAGCCAGAGGGTATATATCATGTCACATTTCAAGTCAAAAAAGCGAAAGTGACCGGCACGTATACCGGTGAATGCAATGAAGACGGCGTTCCTGGTTTTGATGTAATGTTAAAGAAACCCGTTATACTGAAGCGAAATGAAGTTGTGACTCTTTCTGCAACAATAAATGGGCCAAGTTCGTGTTATGGTAAAAATGGATTATCTTCAGTCACACTCGAGGGGGTCTCAGCGACATTTAGCACTGCTCCGCTTCCCAACAACGGAACTTCTACTCGTAGCGGTCAATTTGATGAAATAATACTCGAGATTTAACTTGCATGATTGCTATCATTGACAATGTTGTGCTGCACTCTTTGGACAGTTTTGGAAACATGATAACAATATTGTTATAGTGCTGTTTGGGTTAATTATAGCCTTCCTCACGCGTGCCAATATCCGCCATTGGGCTATTACATACCCAAACCCCCTGTCGACGGTTTCAAGGGGGTGAATTAGTCAATATTTCCAGAGGGGTGAAAATTCAAAAATGTACTTCCAGAGGGGGGGGGGTTGAGTCTCTTCCAGAGGGATCAATTACACAGGGGGGAATGGTTTTTAAATGTAATAGCCCATTTTGGGGAAACTGATATATATACACAATCAAAACAATGTGAAAGGCGACTTCACAAAGTTATAACTGTACATTTACCATTGCACACACAACTACAATTATAAAAATTCACATTTCGCGGTGTTTATACTACCCGGTTGGGAGAAGCCAGTACCTCCAAAATGGCGGATAAACCGAGCGAAAGAAAGGCTAAGAAACTCGAGAGTTAACAATAATAGCACGCAATAAAAAAACTTCAAAATATTATAACTTCTACATTAATTAAGGGCCAGAGATAATCGAACAGTTATGCTGCGTGATTACGAACAATGAATGTCAATATTATTAAGTTTTATTATAATAATTTTAAAAAGTATTATGCCTATTCAGACAAGTTAAACATGTTGATCCAACATCATTAAGGGCGTAGCCAGTCCGAAACTGGGGGGGGGGGGATGTTTCTATCTTTTACTTCGGCGAAACCCTATTTCATGCATTTTAGACACGTTTCATGATAATCTGAAAGTCAAAGACTTGGTATATTTTATGTAATAGATGAAAACATTAAGACGTTAACCCACCCCCCCAACACACACACACAATTTCTACTCAGTTTTGAAAGAATTACATTGTCTTTTCTAATTAGTTCCAACCCCCCCTCCCCCCCGCGCAAAATTCCGCCTAGTGGAGAACCGGCTTTATTGAAATAGGCCTTTATCACATAAGAATGTGCGTGTCCATTCAAAGCGAAATTCCCATACATTCCCTATTAAATATTCTGTTTTTAGAAACGACGCTGGTGCCACATTGCTTAAAATAAAGCCTCCAAATTGCAAACCCTGACTTGCAAAACTTGACCAGCTTCTTTAATTTCTGGTATTTGTAATTTTAAAGCTAACATCAAATTTTAAAACGACTCAAAAAGCGCGATAAACATGTAGGTCTATTATATTAAAATCTGCCTTAATTAAGGCCGGTTTACACTGCACAACCTTTGCCTAAAACTGTCGCATGCAACCTGCTTATACAACTTGAGTTGTACTGTGTAAATCAAGCACACAAAGAACAATCAATGGAAAAGTGGTGTTTAGGAGACTGTGACGTCATAGTCTCACCCATATAGCATCGCATGAGTTCGCGGAGTGTACGTTATATGATTTGTTCGGACTATTTCTCGCGGACAGATTGATCATTTAAATAGTTTGGCACGACGACTAAGGGCCTGTTCATATGGGCAAAAGTTATCCCGGTTAGCGAGAAAACCTTTCGACAACTTTACAAGCGAGATCTGGCCTTGATATGAAAATAATATGAAAAGTTACACTGCGTTCATATGAGACAAAAAGTTTTCCCGTGCACCGAGATCTCGCTTGTTTTTCCTATATGAACACAACTTTCCCGCTTTATAGCGGGATAACTTTCTGTCGTGTCAGCAACTTTTCAATTCAATTGATGTTCAGTGCTACGTCACAGCCGGAAACTTTACCCGGTAAGCGGGATAACGTTTCTCCATGCCATATGAACAGAACAAAAGTATTTGGCTAGTCGAAAAGTTTTCTCGTTAGCCGGGATAACTTTTGCCCATATGAACAGGCCCCAAACCTGGCCTTGGTGCTGTACCTATTCGAAATAAGTCACATGTGCAACAAGAGATTAATTATAACAATGGTTTAACAGTCAGCTCTTGTCTTTTGACCTTCCCGGAAGAGCAAAACATAATTTCGATGCCCTTTGGTCAGTTCTAACCTAACGAAGCAATTCGTTTAGACTTTTTTAAAACCAGAATGCACTTCTTTCGCTATCCTCTTACTGATACATCTTATATCTCATAACTGCAGGTTTATTGCAAACAACGGCATTCTTGTGGTTCTAAACTGGCTAATTCCAGTATACAATGCGGCCCACCAAGGGTGTAACCCAGGTCGCTTGTCACTCATTTTGTGGCTGCTTTGTCGCTTGTTTTATTGTAATAAATGTCGCTGTCACTTTTGACCCATAACACAAATCACAATTTGTCGCTTTTTCCCAGTCAGAAGTTGTCGTTTGTCGCTCTTTTTAGATAGTATGTCGCCTCTTTTTAAGGAATGTCGCCTGTCGGTCATAACCCCTTGGTGGGCCTCTACTCAATCGCCACATTACACCTTAACAGTAAACAAAGCTGGGCATAAGAAACGCGCACAGGCGCACTGATAAATTCTTAATTCCGGGCCTAAGAAAACAAACTTTCCGAGAAGTAGGATCAACATAACCATCAAAACGACTTTGCAGCATATAACTATAACACCGGCAGCCACACAGACGGCAACATCTTCGTATTCGGCTACTCCCTTCACCGAAAGTTCCTTGGGTGAAGCTAGCAAGCTTAGGCCTTAGCTATTATCAAATATACAGCCGGTAGATTCGCTTAAATTCGCAGTCGAATGAACAGATGAGTTAATAGAATAATTGTTTCAGACGAGGACTCCAAAACTCCACTATTGCTTACCTGGGATGAAACTGATATTTTCATCCCTACACCCCTCTCCTTCAGAGGTTTTGAGGCAGCGTTTTAAACACTGTACCGTTTTCGTAGCGTTCTCGTATTGTTCGAGAGAACTAGACTATTGTCTTGCGTTCCCTTGAGGATTAAAAACAATACGAGAACGCTACGAAAACGGTACAGTGTAAACGCTGCCTGAGTTGCTACTTTGAGCACAGTTAATAGAGCTTTGAGCTAGTGCTATTAAAATATATGCGCTAGACGGTAATGTTGGAGAGTTATGCGCTTGACGGTAATATGTAACGAGGAAACCGCTAAAATCCGGAACGCAGGCAAGGGGGAGCGCTCTCCTTGCCCGCGCTCCGGAATTTTAGAGGTTTCCTCGTTACATAGTACCTCGTTAGCTCTCGTTACATAGTACCTGGTTACATAGCAGCGCATAACTCGCTAATATTACCGTCTAGCGCATATCAAAGCCTCTGTGGAGGAGAGAGTCCCTACACGCTGCTTTGTATTTCTGTCAGAAGCGTTTCGCGACCGAATGTAATGAAGATGGCAGATTAATGGCGGACACGGCGATTTTGGACATTTCAAATGCTCATAACATCACGTTCGTTCACGGTTAAACCGTGGTTCGTTTCAGTTTTACACAAGCGTTTATGGTATAATATTAAGTAAAGCTATTGCTACATGGAAATGAATCTTTTTCGATGACTATTTTTGTCACAGTAGCACTTTACATCCACTCAAAAGGTGTGATAAAGGTCAATTATCAAATGCCCATTAAAACCCGCCTTATACCGGTACGAAATTTTGTGTTGACACGCGTGAAATTAAGCCATATCAAATTATGCCTCGCTTCCAATTATTCCACGTCCGAGATTCCCTTGCACAACTATTGTTCTCCATTTAAGTATTCCACATCTATAATTCTTCAAAATGGTCTCCGTTCAATCGAATGTGGACTGGCAGTCGACAAAGAACACCATCTTGGAAAGAAACCGTCATATGTTCAACAATTCAGACATGAGTGATATCAGCTTCACTTGGGCAGGTTCAGACAAGACATTCTATGCACATAAATATGTTTTGGGCACAAGTAGCGCCGTATTTCATGCCATGTTTTATGGCGGCTTAGCTGTAAAAAATTCCATTGTTCATTTGTCTGATACAAACGAGGAAAGTTTGGAACAGTTTCTGAGATTTCTTTACACGGAGGAATGTACATTGACCGCAGACAATGTTGTTGCCATCATGTACCTGGCACAAAAGTACATAATTCCTTTGCTCAATAAGAAATGTGTTAATTTCCTGCTGGAAAATTTAAACCTTGAGAACGTGCTGGACGTTTTGGAGCAAGCGGTTCGTTTTGATGAAAAAGAATTAGAAACACGATGTTGGAATGTTATAGAGTACAACACACGCAAAGTAGTAGCCTCTGATAGTTTCAATAACATCAGTCAAAAGACCTTGGCCAAATTACTGATGCGAGACAAATTGAATATCCCAGAAGTAGAACTTTTTCAAGCTGTTTTGCAATGGATTGATTTCCAATGCTCGCGTAAGAATTTGGAACCAACAGGCGAGAACCGAAGGTGTATTATTAGCAAGGCTATCTATGCGTTTCGATTTTTTGGCATCACCCAGGCAGAGTTTATTCAAAATGTTTCTAAATCTGGTTTGCTTACTGTAGAAGAGATGATTCCTATTCACGAGAAATTTCTTGGAATTGATTCGCCTGCATTGAAATGGAAGCTACCGAACAGGAAACCAGGAAATATCGACAGGTTTTCAAGATTTTCTAGAAAGGCAAAGGATCCTCTGAACACGTGGGGATATCATGGCACGCCAGATTGCCTCTGTTTTTCTGTTAATCAAGAGGTGTCCTTGCTTGGTGTTCGTTCGGTTTGGAGACCAAGATGAGAGTAAGTACCAGGTCACTTTGGAAGTCAAAGAAGCCAAAGTAACCGGAAGTTATATCTCTGAACGCAATCAAGACGACATTCCTGGTTTTGATGTAATGTTAAACGAACCCGTTATCCTGAAGCAGAACGAAGTTGTTACTCTTTCTGCAACAATAAAAGGGCCTAGATCGTATTATGGTAAAAATGGATCACCTTCAGTTATACTCGAGGGGGTCACTGCGACATTTGGTGACTCTCCGTCCACAAACAATGGAACTTGTCCAGATCGTGGACAATTTGATGAAATAATACTTGACATTTGAGTTAGAAATATGGGTTTATGTATAATGTAATGTAGGCTTGAAGTGTTAGTTTTATGTATCTCACATATCAAATTTTATCGTAGATAATTCAGTGTACCATTCTCCTCTAAACTGCAAACTACGAATTCATTAAAATCAGTATCACTGTTCTAACTTTCATGGTTGTAATTTTTGACTATTGTTAATGTCGTATAATCTTGCGCAACGGTTGGTTGGCAGCCAGTGTAGGTAGCGACGATACCAAGACATCTAGGGATTGAGAGGGTTATAACAACCTGAAAAATACAAACAGGACTTCGACGTTTCAAGCGAAGGCCCTTCACGTCACAAGTTAGTGCTCGAATTAAAACATCGGACGTTCTGCTTATATTTTTCAGGCGGTTGTGTCTGTCAAAATCTGCAGATGTCTTGATGGTTTTGGGGACATAAAAACAAATATTGTTTTTTAGAATACCGCCCATTTAAACCATTTCAATATCTTCCATGCAACATTTAACAGTTATTCTACGAACTCGAGTCGAATATGAGCTGATGAATACACAAGGTCTGAATTCACAGACTTTGCTTTTCCGTTAATTTCAATATTTTTCTATTTTATTTATGTGTTTACCTTCGCTCTTTCGGCCGACTATTTTCAGTTTCAAAAGTATATATTTTTAACCATTTAAAATTTTAAAAATTCATTTGCTAACCTGTAAACAATTTGTGGGAGTTTTTTCATTGTGTTTTTAATCCTGTGAAGGCTATAAAAAGCGAACAACTTCTCATTTTCTCGTTCGCAAAACGTCAGAAATTCAGTTTGAGCCGCCATTTTGTTTTTCTCGACTAGCAGGAATAGGATATGAGGTAATATCCTGCTAGTAGAGAACCAATCAAATTGCAGAATACCTCATATCCAGACCTTGTGTATATAATAACCGATATAACGCTCAAACAGACCCAGCAAAGTAGGATGATGTTGGATCAACATGTTGGACAGTACTTGGACTGGTCTGTACAAGCACATCACATCCAGTGGATGTATAATGTGCCTGTTCAGCATGGTCTCTTCCTTTTTATCATGATGTATATATCATCATACAGGTGCACTTTTGTGTATGATGCATCATCATACACACACATTGAATAACCTGACCCTCGCCCCACTAACCGCTCCTAACCAGACGCACCTAAAGCATCTAACCCCTCGCTCTAATGGGTGGGAGACGAAGAACTCCCCACCCAGCGAGTCCTCACTCCCTTTTAAGGTGATTAGTTAAGTAGATTAAGTACCTCCCTTTTACGGCGACTACTTAAATAGATTAAATATCTTCCTCTTAACTTTTAAGGCGATTACTTAAAAACAGATTAAAGTACTGTCCTAGGCTTGTGGTGCACACTTAATTATATGCAACTTTAAAATGAACATCTATATGATGATATACATCCAGAGATATACATCATAGATTTAAGTATGACCGTATGGCGATATACATAATAAAAATGAAGAAGAGAGACCACGTTGGCCTGCTCCAACAGGTTGGAACAGGTTTCATTGGTTGGGACAGGCACATTACATCCGTAAAAAAGGGAGTGTGGGGGGTGGGGGTGGTTCACTGACAAAAAAGGCACTCCAGGGGCGGATCCCGCCTGAAATCTGAACGTGACTCCTCGATCTCGCGCAACTAGGGTGTCAGCGGGTAAACTCCCACGGGAAAATTTTGAATCTCAAAAATGTCATTTCCTGCATTCTGAGCGTCGAGTTTCTTACTAAAATTTGTCCTCAACGAACCCGTTGCAAGCAAAATTTATAAACAAAGGAGTAAGACAAAGAACAACAATTGTCTTGCCCTCCAGATATTCTTACGCAAAGTGCTTTTAGGCGAGCGGCAAAGGGCCTATTGAGCTATCAAGCCAACGGGGATTAGAAGCGTGTTTCACTGAAACTAAAGTGCACAAAATATTTTCGTGAGGACTTAACGTTTGTCTTGGAGGTCGTGCAGTGTTTCAAATTTATTACTGAATCACCAACAGAAATACGTAAAACGTTTCATTAAAAACTGCCTAAGATAACTGATAAAATCATGTATGAAATGTTTATGTTCAACCCTACAGCATTTTCTGCAACGTGTGAAATTGAGGCTATATCAAATTACGCTTCGATTTCAATTAATCTGCTTCCCTGGCACAACTTTTCTTCTGCACTTAAACATTCTAAAATCCTTCATTTTCAAAAGTATTGCGTGCGATTGGATGCGATACGGTAGAATTGTAAACACACGAGAACCACGGAACCAGACGAATTTGAGACCCCCTAACAGGACGAATTCGCGTGTAAACAGGCGAAAAAGGACGAATTTCAGACCGGTCCCAAATTCGTCCGTTACCGTGTAAACGGGGTCTAGAAGTCCTAAATTCTCGATTGTATATACTACATCTAGAATTCTTGAAAATGGCCTCAGTTAAATCGAATGTGGACTGGCAGTCGACAAAGAACACCATCTTGGAAAGAAACCGTTATATGTTCAACAATTCAGACATGAGTGATATCAGCTTTACTTGCGAAGGTTCAGATGAGATATTCTATGCACATAAATATGTCTTGGCCACAAGTAGCGCCGTATTTAACGCGATGTTTTATGGCGGCCTAGCTGTGAAAGATTCGATTGTTCATTTGTATGATACAAACGAGGAATGTTTGGAGCAGTTTTTGAGATTTCTTTACACGGAGGAATGTACATTGACCGCAGACAATGTTGTTGCCACCATGTATTTAGCAAAGAAATACATAATTCCTTCGCTCAATGCGAAATGTGTTAATTTCCTCCTGGAAAATTTAAACCCAGAAAACGCGCTGGACGTTTCGGAGCAAGCGGCTCGTTTTGATGAAAAAAATTTAGAAAAACGATGTTGGAAAGTTATAGAGCATAAAACAGGCAATGTGGTAGCCTCTGATAGTTTCAATAACATTAGTCAAACGACCTTAGCTAAATTACTGAAGCGAGACATTTTGAAGATACCAGAAGTGGAATTGTTCCAAGCAGTTTTAAAATGGATTGATTTCCAATGCTCGCGTAAGAATTTGGAACCGACAGGTGAGAACCGAAGGTCTATCATTGGCGAGGCGATCTACGATCTTCGATTTTTTGACATGAGCCAAAAAGACTTTGTTGAACATGTTTCTAAATCTGGTTTGTTAACTTCGGATGAGTTAGTTCCCATTTACGAGGAATTTCTTGGAATTTATTCGCCCGCGTTGAAATTGAACAAGCTACCAAATAGGAAGCAAGCAGGTATAGTTAGGTATTCCAGATTCCTGGCAGGACAGGGGACGAAACTTGTGGGTTATGGTGATTGGCTATGTGGTAGCATACCAGATCGCCTTCGCTTTTCCGTAAATAAAGAGGTGTCTCTGCTTGGTGTTCGCTTGTTCGGAGACCAAAATGAGAGTAAATACCAGGTTACGTTTGAAGTCAAGGAAGCCAAAGTTACCGGAACATATACCACTGTACGCAATGAAGACGACATCCCTGGTTTTGATGTCATGTTAAAGAAACCCATTGTACTGAAGCAGAACGAACTGGTAACAATCTCTGCAACAATAGACGGCCCTGATTCGTGTCATGGTGACAATGGATTATCTTCAGTTACATTTGAGGGGGCTACTGTGACATTTAATGATGATCCGTCGTCCTACAACAACGGAACTTCTACATATTACGGACAATTTCATGAAATAATACTTGCAATTTAATACCCATGGTTCATGATTCAATGTTGTGCTGCAACCTGCACGGGTTCAGTGTTAGGAACATGATAACAATGTTGTTAAAAGGATGTTCAGATCAAATCATTTAAATTAAACATGCAATGATGCAACCACTTATAAATATTAACGCGCGCGGTCGACCAATTAATGTGTTTTTTTTTAATTTAATAAATTTGCCCAAATATCATAACTATTTACAATAATAATTACTAATATTATATTATATTACAGAGGGGCAAAAGGCCATTGGAAACCTGTATAGGCTTTTATTCATGACCCCAAGTTTTATCTACTTAGTTATAGATGAATAGCATTAAGAAAGTTTATTAACCAGCTAATTAAAGTAATTATAATGATAAGGACAGGATGCATGGGTTCTTGATTAACAAGCTTTTTACAAAATAAACTAAAATAATATAGTCGGGGAATGTCAGATGACAATTTTTTACTAACAAAGTCAAATCTGATCCAGCATCTTCCAACATGACCGAACACTGTCAAACAGACCCAATAATGTAACATCAAACAATATAGACCAACATGTTGGACTGGTCTGAACATGCACATAATACATCCTTAAAAATTCCTATAATATTAACATTCATGGCTATAATATTAATATTCATATCATCGTCCCTAATGTGGAAGTTGTAATATTTTGGGTTTTTTTAGCTTATTGCATGCTATTACTGCATTTGTAATATATTTATATGGTTGTTAATCTAACGAGGGTACAGTAATCCGCTTGCACTGCGGTGGGAGCTCCTTGCCATAAGTTATAGATTATTTTTCAGCTTAGCCTAATACAAAATACAGTAGATATTTGTACATAAAGTAAATAAAATCCTCTTTAAAAAATTCGTTGTCTCGGGCGGGATTTAAACCTTCATTGTCCAGTCGACCCAATGAGCTATCAAGCCATAGGGATTCCAATTTAAGGGAGTTTTTCAAACAAGTTTTTCAAATTACGTAACTGTGATTATTGATCATTTCTTTGGTTTTAATAACAGATTTCAGTTTTAATTATCAAGATAATTGAGTATACTGATAATAGAATTCATTTTCATGAAAAAAAATTCGGGCTCATCGAAGTTGTTTTCGAGTTAAATTACCCGCTTAAAACCAAAATACCAGCCATCTTGAAACGTCATTGTTGCCATATCAACGGCAGTTAGATCCAGAATTACTGATCTAAATCGTGAATTTTAAATTTTAATTTTAACTTTGTTTAGAGCCACTTTAAATACTCTTTGTTTTAAATCCTGATTTCCGAATTACTGTGGCCCCGATTACACTATACCGGATTGCATCGAAGCGACGCAATTTCTGTACCGGTTGGCCTCTTGTTTACACTACGCCACTGTAATCCGGTACGTGCCGCGGCGCGAAAATCACTTCGCTTTGGAGGTGATATGAAAAGTAATCCGGTACGTGCTGTACCGGATAAAACCAAGTGTAATCAGGCAATCGGTACGCTCCGGTACTATAAATAGGTTTCGGCAAGTATATTTTAACATTGTCGTTTTATTTACTCGCTTTTAAATATTTTATAGCTGTTGTTTGCTTCGCTTTACAATTATTTATTATTTCTAGCGAAGACAAATAAAGATAGCGGTAATAACATTGACTTCTTGCTTTCAAAAGGGCAAAATTTAATGAAATACTCGTCAATTTTCGATAAGAGCGAGACAAAGCAACGTCGGGTGGTCAAGCTTTGTAAACAAAGTTATAATTCACAAGTACTGTCGAGAAAACGTCCAAAATGGTCAAAACTTATTATTTGTTTCCGTGGCAACGATAAAAGATACGAGCTGGCGACAGAGCGAAGCGGCATAGTGTAAACACCCTTGATTTTGGCTTCGGTGTGAAAATTGATTCGGTATGAAAATCAATCCGGTATAGTGTAATCCCAGCCTGTGTAACATGTGTATTAAAAACCTAATTATATAACTGACAAAGTTATGTAAGAAATGTTGTTATATGTTCAACAGTACACCATTTTCTGTAGCCTGCATAGCAGGCGTTTTTTTGCGGGACGTTTGGATTGTTCATGCCCACTAAAGGCGGTTTTCCACTAGGCGAAATTTTTCGACCGAATCGAAATTTCTCTTTGTTTCAGAGCTCTCGAGCAGAACTAATTGTAAAAAGACAAAGAGAAATTTCGTTTCGGTCGAAAAATTCCGCCTCGTGGAATCCGGCCTTAAAGCATATCAAATTACGTTTCGCTTTCAATTATTCTATAATCTATATACTTCCGCGATTGTCTTGCACAATTCTTGTTCTTGCATTCAAGTACTCCCGATAGTATTCCACATCTACAATTCTTGAAAATGGCCCGCTCTGTTCAATCGAATGTGGACTGGCAGTCGACAAAGAACACCATCTTAGAAAGAAACCGTCATATGTTCAACAATTCAGACATGAGTGACATCAGCTTTACTTGCGAAGGTTCAGACAAGACATTCTATGCACATAAATATGTCTTGAGCACAAGTAGCGCCGTATTTCATGCCATGTTTTATGGCGGCTTCGCTGTGAAAGATTCCATTGTTTATTTCTTTAATATAGACGAGGAAAGTTTGGAGCAGTTTTTGAGATTTCTTTACACGGAGGAATGTACATTGACCGCAGACAATGTTGTTGCCACCATGTATTTGGCAAACAAATACATAATTCCTTCGCTCAATGAGAAATGTGTTGACTTCCTGCTGGAAATTTTAAATCCTGAAAATGTGCTGGATGTTTTGAAGCAAGCGACTCGTTTTGATGAGAAAGAATTAGAAAAACGATGTTGGAATGTTATAGAGTCTAATGCAGGGGAAGTGGTAGCCTCTGATAGTTTCAATAACATCAGTCAAACGACCTTGGCTAAATTACTGAAGCGAGACAAACTAAACATACCAGAAGTAAAACTATTTGAAGCTGTTTTAAAATGGATTGATTTCCAATGTTCGCGCATGAATTTGAAGCCAACGGGTGAGAACCGAAGGTCTATCATTGGCGAGGCGATATACGATTTTCGATTTTTTGGCATGAGCCAAAAAGAGTTTGTTGAACATGTTTCTAAATCTGGTTTGTTAACTTCGGATGAATTAGTTCCAATTTACGAGAAATTTCTTGGAATTAATTCGCCCGCGTTGAAATTGAACAAGCTACCAAATAGGAAGCAAGCAGGTATAGTTAGATATTCCAGATTCCCGGCAGGACAGGGAACGAAACGTTTGGGTTATGGTTATTGGCTATATGGTAGCAAACCAGAGCGCCTGCGCTTTTCCGTAAATAAAGAGGTGTCTCTGCTTGGTGTCCGTTTGTTTGGAGACAAAAATGAGAGTAAGTATCAGGTTACGTTTGAAGTCAAAGAAACCAAAGTAACCGGAACGTATACCTCTGCACGCAATGAAGACGATGTCCCTGGTTTTGATGTCATGTTAAAGAAACCCATTGTACTGAAGCAGAACGAACTGGTAACAATCTCTGCAATAATAGACGGACCCGGTTCGTGTTATGGTGACAATGGATCAGTCAGAGTTACACTGGAGGGGGCTACTGTGACATTTAATGATGATCCGTCGTCCAACAACGGAACTTCTACATATTACGGACAATTTCATGAAATAATACTTGCAATTTAATATTCATGGTTCATGATTTAATGTTGTGCTGTACCCTGCATGGGTTCAGTGTTAAGAGCATGATAACAATATTGTTAAAAGGATGTTTAGATTAAATCACTTAAATTAACAACCACTTTTAAATATTAACGCACGCGGTCGAACAATGTTGGACGATATCAGTCGATGACAACTTTTTAACAACGTCAAGTCGTCAGCTATGAACCCGATCCAACATATGCTCACACAGAACAAACAATCTTGCATCCAACAAATGTAGGATGATGTTAGACCAACGTGTTGGACTAGTTGGAACAAGGCACATTACATCCTTACACAATTGGTATACTATTATAAAATTATTCATTGCTCGTGAAAAAATATTTGAACTGGTAATCCATTATAATATTAATTTAATTTAAAATTGTTACTAGGGACCTTAACTAAAAAGCCTTATGGTTTCTAGAAGGTTCCTAGCCCTATACTATTGTAAATACTTCTATTTTTGATTTATATGTAATTTGGGCGAATTAGTTAATAAAATAAAAAAACCATGTAGTCTCGCACCATTCAATTACTGTCCTTAATATAGAAGTTGAAGTATTTTGTATTTTTTTTCTTATTGCATGCTACTATCATTGATTTGTAATATTTTTGCATAGCTGTTAAACTAACGGGGCACAGACAGTATTTGCTTGCACTGTTGCGAGAGTTCGCTAGTACAGGCTGATATTTGTCCAATTTATGGCAGGGCTAAGCTGGCAAAGCGTTTTCCTTGAGCTACTGCAAGCCAACCGGCATTGAAGCGGATTCGCTCAACTAAAGTGCACAAAATATTTTCGTGAGGACTTAAAGCTTGTCTTGAGGACGTACAGTGTTTGAAGTTTACAACTGAATCACTCTCAGAGATATGAAAAATCTCTCCATATTAATTTCCGGTGTCTCAGCGGTTTCTGTCCCCAAAAAGAGTGTCACCCCGGACACTATTGTGATATGTGCAGTGTTTGGACACTATCTGCGTGGGGACGCTATCCGCTGTAATATACCGGTGTTCCAGGAAATATCCCCCCCAAGAAAAAAATCCCCCCCCCCCGGCAAAATATCCTAGTAAACTTGGCCCTCCGGGGGCCATATTTCCTATGATATTTGGCCCACTCTACGAAAATTTGGCACCCCTTTTGGGATTGAACAAATATAAACATAATTCATGAAAGTGAATCTCTTATAAACATAAGAAGTCTAAGAAGATAATAATGCCATAACCGGCATTTTAAAACCTTGTCAGAAACATAAACATTCGACAACGTGGGCGATTAGCTCAGGGCTGAAATTCCTGACGCGTGGGCACATCACTCATGGTTACCCAAAATCACAATGAAAGCACTGAGTGGCTATGATTTAGTTTTCGCATCGTTGCAACATTGATTAAGGCATCTGGAAATAAGTCAGGACCAGATACTTACGCTGAAGACATAATAAATCTACAGTGCAGTGCTTAGATGTTTCACATCTTAATGACCATGGTCTATAGCTGTTAATGACCTTAATGAGTTCACAATCAAACCATTTTGAGAGATCGCATCTTATAAGATATTACAAATTATTTTTAACCAAATCCATACTCTATAGACTATAATTATTATTAAACTGAGAAAAAACAAGAATTTTAGGAAGCCAATGATGACAGAATAATTAGCATATACTTTGTCTTTGTAATACTTTGTTAGCAAAGTAGTAACTTTTTGTTAGCAAAACCTGGCTAAGATAACTGATGATTTATCATGTACGAAATGTTGTTATATTTATATGTTTATTTGCGGGAGGCGGCTTCTGTGACTGGTGGCATTGTGCTGGTCCACAAAGACATATCAAATTACGTTTCGCTTTCAAATATTCTACTTCCGTGATTGTCTTGCACAATTCTCGTTCTGGATTTATGTATTCTCGATAGTATTCTACGGCTATAATTCTTGAAAATGGCCTCCGTTCAATTGAATGTGGACTGGCAGTCGACAAAGAACACCATCTTAGAAAGAAACCGTCATATGTTCAATAATTCAGACATGAGTGATATCAGCTTCACTTGCGAAGGTTCACACAAAGGTTCAGACAAGACATTCTATGCACATAAATATGTCTTGAGCACAAGTAGCGCCGTATTTCATGCGATGTTTTATGGCGCCTTAGCTGAGAAAGATTCGATTGTTCATTTGTCTGATACAAACGCGGAAAGTTTGGAGCAGTTTTTAAGATTTCTTTACACGGAGGAATGTACATTGACCGCAGACAATGTTATTGCCATCATGTATTTGGCACAAAAGTACATAATTCCTTCGCTCTATGAGAAATGCGTTAATTTTCTACTGGAAAATTTAAATCCTGAAAATGTGCTGGATGTTTTGGAGCAAGCAACTCGTTTTGATGAGAAAGAATTAGAAAAACGATGTTGGAAAATTATAGTGTCTAAAACAGGCAAAGTGGTAGCCTCTGATAGTTTCAATAACATCAGTCAAACGACCTTGACTAAATTACTGAAGCGAACTGACAAAATAAATATACCAGAAGTGAAACTGTTTCAAGCTGTTTTAATATGGATCGATTTCCAATGCTCGTGTAAGAACTTAGAACCAACTGGCGAGAACCGGAGGTCTGTTATTGGCGAGGCGATATATGACTTTCGATTTTTCAGCATGAGCCACAAAGAGTTTGCTCAACATGTTTCTAAATCTGGTTTGCTAACTGCGGAAGAGATGATTCCTATTCACGAGAAATTTCTGGGAATTGATTCGCCTGCGTTGAAATGGAGGCAGCCAAATAGGACAGGAAATATCGACAGGTTTTCCAGATTTTCTGGAAAGGCAGAGGAACTTCGGAAGTGGGGATACGCTGGTACGCCAGATCGCCTGTGTTTTTCCTTTAATGAAGAGGTGTCTTTGCTTGGTGTTCGTTTGTTTGGTGATGAAGATGGGAGTGAGTATCATGTCACTTTTGAAGTGAAAGAAGCCAAACTAACCGGAACTTATGTCTCTGGTCGTAATCAAGACGACGTTCCTGGTTTTGATGTTTTGCTAAAGAAACCCGTTATCCTGAAGCAGAACGAAGTTGTAACTCTTTCTGCGACAATAAAAGGGCCTCAATCGTGTGGCGGTAACAATGGATTATCCCCAGTTACACTCGAAGGGATCTCTGTGACATTTAGTAATGCTCCGCCTCCAAACAATGGAACTCATGTAAATCATGGACAATTTCATGAAATAATACTTGAGATTTAACTTTCATGGTTGTCATCACTGGCAATGTTGTGCTATACTCTGTGGACAGTTTTTGGGACCATGATAGCAATATTTATATAACACTGTTGAGATTAATTAATATAAACAACCACTTTTAAATATTAAAGCCCATTCAAAACCATTTCAACATCATCATAAACTATCAGTTCCTTGAAAGTTTGCGTGGCGGTAAATCAATAGATTGTCTCGTTTCTGGAAAACATCACGTATATTTACCTCTGCCAGGAAGTTATGTTTTCACCTGCATGGTTTGTATGTGTGTTTGTTTGTGTGTCTGTTACTCAATTACGATTACTCAAAAAATATCAAACGTATTACTCAAACGATCAAGCACGATTACTCAAAAAATATCAAACGTATTAATACGAAAATTTGTAGCGCTAATGGCAATAGACCAAGGACAAATCGATGAGACAGATTTTGGTTCAATTTGGACGAAAACTGAATGAGAAATTATCAAACGTCTGTCTTGTTCTCCCGGGCAGAGCATACTGAATAAAATATAGCTTAATATTACCATGTCTTATTTACCACGGTACTTTTAACATTATGTTTTCATCCTTATATAAAACACTCGAACTTAATTCATATTATATTATTAACATCAGTTTAACTTTATAATCCTAAGGCCTTAAATAAAAGCAACATGATTTCTAATAGGTCCCAAACCCACGTCTTGTAATTTCTTTATTTTATTTGTAATGATAATATTTTGGAGAGGAATACCACGCAGAGAGTTCGTCTCTACTGATAATCTGTCTCTTCGCTGCCTTTATGCAGAAGAGTTATCAGACAAATTTATCAATTACCTTTTGACCAATATCGTTACAACGTTATCTTAGAATCATCACTAGTAACATTACTAGTCGCTGGGACACCTGTGCCGCCAGCGACTATAGGTGTCGGCTTCGGCGTTTCCATCTTTAGTTACTATTTTTAGTAACCGGAAGGACACAAATTGGAAAAATCCCACTGATCTCATAGTAGCTGGATGCAGCTTCTATAATATGTGTTGAAGACGAGAAGAACCAACGTGAATTTTAGCAAATGAAAGATCCTTTGCGAAAGTGTAGTGTACTGATCTATCCACATTTTCAAAAAAATGTTGTGTTAATGCTTTAGATTGCTCTAAAATATAGCTATTTGTATTCGTTGTCCCTTCGGCTACGGGAGTAATTTCGCCACAATCATATGACAACGCAATTTCTAGTTTCGTTTCCAATAAGCGATCTACTTAACGTAAGAATACTTTTAAACCAGATAGTCAGCAATATCGCGTTGTTATCTAGAATTATTTCATGATTGAGTCGCTTTCTTTTGTTATTCAAAACCTTGTATCTAGCGTAATTACTCGTCCATCTGAAAGCCCGGGGAGATATTTGATTTTCAGCAGGGAAGAGCGGGGCTGATGTATGAATTTGAATTGCTCAATACACACATGAGGAGGTATATATCTAGATAAATACCTCATGAAACTATTCATGAGTAGGGATGGGCCGATATCGATACCAAATACTCGATACTATCGATACCAGGGTTTTGAAGAAAAGTATCGATACTGGCAAGAAATATCGATGGTTCGATATTTCTGCGCCCGCGATATTTTTCATTTTGGTCAGCGGCATCATCATGAAAATGATACCAAAAAGCCTAAATAGGCGTAAATAGTTCATTTTCTATGGTGCTATAATGGTCCACGGAAAGGATGGGAGTTTCTGGTTATGTTGGTTGCAATCACTGACATATATTATTCATTGTTTATATTGTTAGCGTTGTGGCCGTTGTTAATGATTTCAAGTTGGGAAAATATCGATATCGGTATCGATATCGAAAAAAAACTGCAAATATCGAGCAAATATCGTATCGAATGAAAAAGCTGGTATCGCCCATCCCTATTCATGAGGTATTTATCTAGAAATATATCTCATGAGACAACAGCCGTGTACTAGTGATGGGCGATACTATCGAAAAAGTATCGAAATCATCGATACTTACAAAAGTATCGATACTTTCGATACTCGCAAAAAGTATCGGTAATTCGATACCACTTGAGCCTGCGATGTTTTTGGTCAGTATTGCTGAACAATCGCTAAATACTTCATGAAGGCAACAGACTGAAAACCCTTGAAGGCAAAAAATGTTGACATGATGCTGTTCTTAAATTAAACAAAAACATGTAGCTAATTAGCAATATATTTTAGGAAAACATTGGTGTTTGGATTTAAAATCATAATTGCAAATGTTATGTTCGATTATTTGGCAGGTACTCCAGTTAGAGTATTCTTTGACTTGTTTTAAACATAAAGGGAGCATTAATTTTTTAGCTGGGGGGGGGGGCGGAGGAATTTGGGGGTGGGTCAGCCAATTTTGACATGCTTCAAAGGGGTGGGTCTTTTTATAGTTTTGTTATAAATGGAGGGGGTCATAAAAATAATCAGTGAAAAAATCACCAATATGATTTTATTGAATTTGGAAATATTTGGATCAAGAATGGTAAAAAGGTCTAGAATCTATCAACTATCTCGTCATCTATAACAATGAAGCAAAATTCATTTGACGCTCTGTTCACACAGTCCATAGGAAAACATTTCCATGACGTTTGTCAATTGACCTCGTTTTTATCCGTTTTTGTGTGAAAACATCAATGAAAGAAAACGCAGGACCGTAGCATGATTTCAAAATCATGCATGATTTCAAAATCATGCATGATTTCAAGGTCTGCATGACTTCAAAATCATGCAGAACTT